TATACCATGTGTGTCTTTCTGCTTCTGGGTTACCTCACTCAGTATAATCTTTTCTAGTTCCATCCATTTGCCTGCAAATTCCATTATTTCCTTGTTTTTAATTGCTGAGTAGTATTCCATTGTGTAAATGCACCACAATTTCTGTATCCATTCCTCCATTGATGGACATCTGGTTGTTTCCAGATTCTGGCTATTACAAATAAAACTGCTGTGAACATGGTTGAGCAAATGTCCTTGTTGTGTACTAGAGCCTCTTTTGGATATATGCCAAGGAGTGGTATAGCTGGATCTTGAGGTAGCACTATTCCTAATTGTCTGATAAAGCACCAGACTGATTTCCAAAGTGGTTGTACAAGTTTACATTCCCACCAGCAATTCCCCTTTCTCCACATCCTCTCCAGCATGTGTTGTCACTTGAGTTTTTGATCTTAGCCATTCTGATGGGTGTGAGGCTGAATCTCAGGGTCATTTTGATTTGCACTTCCTAGATGACTAAGAATGTTGAACATTTCTTTAAGTGATTCTCTGACATTCGATATTCCTCATTGAGAATTCTCTGTTTAGCTCTGTGCCACATTTTTAAATTGTATTACATGATGAATTTCCTTATCAAGTCACCAGAGCCTTTAAGCAGTAGTTCTAAGACTGGAAGAAACATCAGCTCTTTCCTTTTTTATGCCATGGACAGGTCAGATCCCATGCCATTGTTGTGGACTTTGGGGATCGTTGTAAGTATTATATGTGAGTACATGATAGATTCCCTTTGTCCCATATATCTGCTGAGTCATTCTGCTCTTGACAACAGTGACCTTTAACTGCTAAGGTCGATCACATCTCCAGGTGCTTTCGACAAGAGGTGAGCAAAGGCAGTTGTCAAGAAATAAAGCAGAGCACTCCCTCTCTACAGCCAGCATGGCTCCGGAGCTCCTGGACCCCCAATTATCTTATTTAATACAGTGTTGCTTAGAAGACTTGGTGGTTACCAGTTTGTTTGTTTTTTTTAAATCACAATGAAATGCTTTTGATTAAAACTGTATATAATGTAGTTGAGTCCTTTTCCGTTGGTTCAGAGGGCCGCAGAATCCCATGTGGCTCCTGAATGGTCTGAAAAAGGTGGTTGCAAGCCTTGAACACAAGTGGGTTGGTTAATACAGGAATCTGCTGAGATTTCATGAACGTGAAAATGGGTTGTTATGCATCTCTGGCCATCTGGTTAGATAGGAATTTTGTTAGAAATGTTAGCAGCATTTCAAAGAAGGTTAAGGCCAGCGTGTGGAAAATCAGAGATGCAAATATTCTGTCTTCAGTGTAGACCAGAGCTACTGTGATGGCAGATGCAGCAAGGACCCTGGGACACGGGAAGGAGCCTGTTTCCTGGGCTGTCTTGGACAGATTCTGTGTGATGGTGAAGTGGGTATGCCCACATATCATCCAAGCTCTACTACCTCCTGGAGGCCAGTTTATCAGTGCATCACAAGCCTCCAAAGAAAGCATTCCTCAGCTTCATAAACACAGAACTTCTGAGAAGTTTTGAAGTCTTTGCACTACTGCTTTTAGGGGCAAGAAGTTGGGAAAAACATATTAACATCCAGCAGGAGAAATAGTAGATTATAGAATATCTGCATAATTACCATCTGGTATATGTAGATATAAAATACAGTTTCCATTGATGTAGTTTGTTGGTGTGTTAAAAATGTAGCCATGAATAAGTTTAATTAAAGGAACTGTCCCTGAAATAATGCATATAACATGACCCCACTTTATTAAAAATGTATATCTCTCTATGCCTAGGAACATACGTTATATTTGCACCATGTCAGAGGTAGTTGGAATGATTCTAAGTCTCACGTTTGTCTTTATACATTAGGTAATTGTCTAGTTTTGAAACCTAGCAAGAGTCCATTACTTTCAGTATCAGAACAGCAAGCCACTGAGGATTTTTTGTTTCAATAAGAAAAAATCCTAGCCGGGTCCAGTGGCTCACCTTTAATCCCAGCACTCAGGAGGCAGAGGCGCGTGGATCTCTGTGAGTTTGAGGCCAGCCTGCTCTACAAAGTGAGTTCCAGGACAGCGTAGTTACATAGTGAGAATCTGTCTCATAAAACAAAGAAAAAAGGAAAAAAAAAAGAAAAGAAAAAAATGCCTGGAGGAAGTACAAAGGATAGACTGCTTTTTTAGATCCATGAATTGCTTGACTCTCTGGGGCCAGTGTAGGAGTCTGATGGTTGAAGAGTTTGGCATCCACACAGTTTTACTTATAAAGTCAACTGATAGGTTCTTTTCTTGGCTCTGTGTGTGTGTGTGTGTGTGTGTGTGTGTGTGTGTGTGTTTCTAAGTGTGTTCATGTGTGTTTGTAGTGTGTATGTGTGGTTCTGAGTGTGTTCATGTGTGTGCAAGGAGACTAAAGTTTCCATGTTCAGTGTCTTCTTCAATCACTCTTCCCCTTTTAGACTGAGCTAGGGTCTCTGAGATGAACTTAGAGCTCACTGATTCGGCTAGACTAGGTAGCTTGCTCTGGCCATTTCCCAGTCTCTCTTCCCCGAGTTTCAGTCCTGCCACATCCGCTAGCATTTACATGGTGCTGAGGACTGTAACACAGCGCTTATTCTTGGGTAGAAAATGATTTTCCCAGTATCATCATCGATTTCACCTGATATGATCATCATCCAGAAACTGGGGCCATTAGGACTGAAAACAACAGTAAACCATGGCAGTTCTTTCGTTGTTGGTTTAACTTGGTAAATAAGTTTAATTCCTCATTTTTTTAGTAACAGTCAAAGATCATTCCTGAGCAGCCTCTAGTAAATGCATCCTAGAAGAGCCAGTGGGCTGCCCGCAGATTTTAAGTTACAGGAAGTGGGAGGAGTGAGGAGTGACACAGAGATGCTACATTTGCTCAGTTGCTCCTCCAGTGAGAGATCCAAGAGGAAGGAAGGCAGGCTGTGACGCGGCCATGGCAGCAAAGCTAGTTTTGCTCCCAGCCAAATGCAGTCAGCACCCATGAAGCTTGCAGAGTAGGTGGGAGGAGGAAGACAAGACAGCTCAAACATATTGGGAAACACCAGCTTAAACTTGATTGCTTGACGGAGGGAGAGTTTTGCTTTTAGCATGTGGGTGCCCCACATGTACCATTCATGTCTCCCACTGTCTTGGAAGAAGGCTCCAAAACAGACGTGCTAGCATGGGTGAGCTGGAGATGGAGAGACCAAATAAAGTATTCCTGTTCCATCAGCTTGAGCAGCAGCTCTTAAGGACTAGTTCTCCCTGCAGTGGTTAGAGCAGTGTGCTGAGAAATGAGCCAAAGAAATTCTAGGCCAAGAGTCCAAAGGTCTAAGCCAAACCACCGGGAAGGGCTTTCTCCCGCAAGCTGGATCAGAAGGGAGCATTTGTACTGTGTCATGTCTAGAACCAAACTCAAATTCCCTTGCAAGGCTGTGCACACACGCTACCTCGCTCTAACTCAACACAGCCAGAATTTCTATTTAATTGCCATGCACTTAGGGACAAAGAAACTTACAACAATTTGATCAAAGGGCTAAGTAGTCCTAAAGATCCATTCTGAGAACCCACCTTTTTTACTGTTAATCTTCTTATATGTTAATTTTACCATGCTATTTTCCCCTCCATATTTGTGGGAAATTACAATTCAGTTTAATAGAATATATAATAGATATCTAGATAGAATACACACACATACATAGAGTGGCAGTATTTATATTGACATTTGACACACTAGCAGATTTTAGTAAGTAGGAAGTCAGATTTTCTGAAGCAACAAAAGGAAAATGGACTATACTTTAGAATTTTTAACATTCATAGTATTATTGAAGTTAAAAAGATGACACAGATAAAAGCACTGATCTAAGCCTGTGCATTCCTGGTTTGTCAGTCTAACGTGAGCAAACTCCTATCAGTCATATATGATTGAGTGTTGCAGGTGGCTCTGATATTTTGTTTGCTTTAATTTGAAATTGAATTTACCTTTGTGGTTACATACAACTTAAAAGTGTGTGCTCACGAGGGGTAGCTCTTGCTTTGGTTGTGGAGATTGCTCAGTGGTTAAAGCTCCCACCACATAAGGATGAGAACAGGAGTTCAAATCCTACATAAGTGTAGGTTGGCATGGAGACTCACCTGTAATTCCAGCCTGAAGCAGATTAGCTAGCTGGCCATATAGTCGAATTTTAGGTTCAACTAAGAGACCCTGCTTCAATGAATAAGGTGGAAATCCCTCAAGGAAGACTCCTGATATCCCCTCAGGGACTCAAGCATGACCACACATACAGGCACACACACATACACAAAGAGCACAGCACATGGGTGGCAGGATACTAATACATGTTTTGTATTTGTATCAAAGATGGGTGCTTTGAGGTAGCTGACACTCTCACAATGCACATTCTTTGAAGCCACCTATCAATGGTCAATGATCACACACACACACACACACACACACACACAACCTATCATAAAGTAACCGAAGTGGAAAACAAAACCTGACGGAAGAAGATAACTGGTGTTCTCAATTTTGGTGAACAACTTTGGCTTATTAGCACCAGAGTCTTGGTTTAGAGGTGTGACTGGATTCTCTTCTGGTCTTTGGGTCAGAGCTGCCTCTAGTTCACGCAATGTATTTTTAATACATGTCTTGATTATTTGGGTTCAATACTTGCCATTTCCCTTTCTAAATCTTGTATGTGAAAATCTGCTCAGCTCAGGAATCCAAATATGCTAACCCATAGTCTCCAAAGGCAGCCTTCTTTGGTGTAGATGTTCTGGTTTATTTGATCAATGTAAGTTATCCCCTGAGTCAGTGGATTAATGCTTTTCAAATACTTAAAAAGTCTGAAAACACATTGGTTGGGTCTCCAAACTTGGGAAAATGAACCATCCTTTTAGAATCCTGGGTCATTAATAGTCATTCCAGGCTGTTTGGCCGGCACATCGATGACAACACTTGTCAGCTGGGTGCTCAGGAGCCTGTCTTTATGATGTTGCAGAATTGCCTATCAGAGGAACGATGATGATGAAGAAGAGGCTGCCAGGGAACGGCGCCGCCGAGCCCGGCAGGAAAGGCTGCGGCAGAAGCAAGAGGAAGAGTCCTTGGGACAGGTGACAGAGCAGGTGGAGATCCATGCTCAGAACAGGTACCGTCCTCCTCACACTGGGCGTCTCTGGGTTGTATCTTCTGCTGCACAGTTGAATGGAACTCGCTAGCAGACTGTTCCCCTCTCAGACCAACTCAGCCACTATTGGCTGATGGGTTTTAGTGAGAGGAGGCTGTTAGTAGCTCTATTGACTTGATCAGCTCATTTTCTAGGGCGACCTTGCAAATGCTGACACATAAGACAAGTTTAATAAGAAATGTAATGCTTATGTAGAAGACAGAAACCTTGGTCCTTGGCAATCAGTCCCCAGCCGAGAGGCATGGAGTAGCAGATGTGATCACTGGGTTTCACTCACTGGCCTTGAATCCCAGCTTGGCAAACTGTCCTTCAGTTTAAAAAGTATAACCACAGCTCCCTTTGAAGGACACTGCTCAGCTGCAGAGATAAGAGTCCCTGTAAGACCCCCAGTGCCTTGCACATAACAAGCACTCTGTACAGTGCATTCTAGGCAGAGTCTCACGGAAAGGGGACAACATGGCCACTTGTTGCCTTTTTTATTCTTAAGCTGAAGAGAGGGGAAAAAAATCATTTTTTTTTGTGACATTTTGAGGCCGTTCCTGAATCCAGTTATTAATGAGTGTTCAACGATGGTTTTAAAAGTTACAACTGATCATTAGTTTCTGCTTCTGAAAATCTTACTTCCGGACCGGGAAAACAGTGCTCTGTGTGGGTCTGGCACAGAGGTCTTGGGTTTGAGCCTTGTCCCATCAGCAACTTCAGCAACACATACATAGGTCAGACTTACATATCATTTCTGCTTTAATTTTATTATTAGCTGTTTTATGAGCTTACCTAAATTTAAAAATTCTTTTGCCAAGCATGATGGTACATGCTTATAATCCTAGCAGTCAAGAAGTGGAAGCAAGAGGATCAGGAGTTCATGGTCAACGTTGGCTTTTTAGTGAGTGCAAGGCTAACCTGGGCTACATGAGACCCTGTAACAAAAAAAATTAAGAAAAATATATTCAGGTTTGAACATGTGATTTCTTGCAGGCGTATTAATTATCTACAAGTGTAGAGTCTTTGGGGGACTAACCAGCTCTAACTGGCATTTAATATCTACTGATGACTGTTACCTACAACCTATTTTTTTTAAAAAATCAAAGAAAGGCTCAGTAGAGTCTGTTGATTTCTTAACAGTACTTCTGTCTGACAGCTCTTTGGAATTTGTAGGATGTTTTCAAAACATTAGAAGTCAGTTGCTCTGAGTGTCCCATGCATAGGCCTTCTCCACTGACCCCAGTTCTTTGTGTTTCTGTGCATATGTAATCTGGATGAGGCTAATTCACATCGACAGTGTCCTGCAGCGACAGCAGAGGCCAAAAAGCCTTGAAAGTGAGGCTTTCCTCTGCCATATTTTGTTGTTTAATATGAAATGTGTTTTTCCAAAACCAAGTGAACTTGAACATCAGAAGAGCCAAGTTTGGTATGAACCATGAAATTTGATGGAGTTTCTAAACATTTTGAGACGTATGCTTCCAGCTCTGGTCACAGTTCTGGTATCACATGACTGCTAATTCTAGCCAGAAGGGGCCTACGCCCTTGGTCTGGGCAGTGTCCAGTACTCTGGAAGAGTGCAATGATAGACATGCTACAGTTTGGGTTTTCCTCTTTTAAAAATAAATGTTGATTAGCCAGTCCTTACCCATCGGGGAAAAGAATAAGAAAAAAAACCCTTATTCTTGGAAATCTGTACAAAGAAGTTAGATCGTCTAGTAACATTGTTGCTATGACAATTTTAGTATTTTAACACAGTATACTAGTGCACTCTGGATATTTTTGTGTACCAGATAAGGTGCTCTCTGTCTTATTTTTATCTTATTTTATTTTGTCTTTTTTTTTTTTTTTTTTTTTTGGTCAGGGGTCTCACTGTGTATTCCTGGCTACCCTGGAACTTGCTTTGTAGACCAGGCTGGCCTCAAACTCACAGAGATCCATCTGCCTCTGCCTTCCATGCTGGGATTAAAGGTGTATGCCGCTACACCCGGCTCTCCACCATTCTTTAAGACACGGTCTCTCCCTGAACTTGGAGTTCACTTATCCAGCCAGACTGGCTCATCAGTGAGCCTCAGGGATCCTCCTGTCTTTCTTTCCCCCATGGCTCTATCGACCCCCAATGATCCAGAGCCCACACACCAGCAGAGCTGGCAAGCATAGAGAGTACATACCTATTCAATTGCTTTGTCCTGGACACATCATTTATGCTTACATTTCATTGATTAACTGGCCCTGTTTAGGTATGAGGAAGGGCAGAGGGTAAGGAAATGCCATCCTGGACTGACAGTCATCACCCCATGAATTGTGGAGGACACTTAAATGTCTCCAAAGTGAAGATTGCTGGCATAGTATAGAAGCTCCATGCTATACATACTGTTTCCTAAGTACCTCAAGTCTACCTGAGATCAGGAATGACTCAGTGGCACAAATATGAAACTATGACACAGAATTCACTCGTTATTCTGATTTGATCCTTGTCATAGTCGGGATCCGGAGTGGCACAGGTGCTGAAATCAGGCTTTAAGCACAAGTTGTTTACTTGTAAGGTAATCCCAAGAAACAATGGCAGGGATGTAGGTAAGTGAGATTGGGAGAGGAGGCAACCAGGTGAAAGTTACTTTTCAGCATAAGTGGCCACGGTGGCTGTCTGTGACTTAGCTCCAGTAAGAGCCTTACCTGTAGAATTAGCCTTCAAAACAGAGGAAGGCCAAAGTGTTTATAAGGCCAAAGCTTTTGTTGGATGCCATACTCAGAGTTTCCACAGCAAGTTGAGGAGATACAGTGGCTGAGAGAGTCCAAGAGCTAAGATTTGGCTAGGCTCAGCTGGAAGCCAGGTGAGGAAGCAGAGAGTGCTAACTTCCAGGGGCAAGTGTGCCAGACACCACTGGCACCTGCTCTGGCTGCAGGTGGCTTTATACGATTGATTAACCATCAAGCTGTCTTTGGTGTTATTCCTTCTCTTGTGCAGTGTCCCTGATGAAGAGTCTAAGCCAGCCACTACAAACACTCAGGTAGAAGGCGATGAGGAGGCTGCGTTACTGGAGCGCCTGGCTAGGCGAGAAGAAAGACGTCAAAAACGTCTTCAAGAAGCCTTAGAGCGTCAGAAGGAGTTTGACCCGACCATAACAGATGCCAGTCTGTCAATCTCAAGCAGAAGGGTGCAAAATGACATGGCAGAAAATGAGACACTAGAGAAGGAAGAAAAAAGAGAGAGTCGCCCAGGGTGGTATGAGGTGGAAGAAACAGAAGTAGTCATCAGGTCCTACCAGAAGAACAACTATGAAGATGCTGAAGACAAAAAGAAAGAAGAAAAGGAGGAGGAGGAGGAAGAGGAGAAGCTGAAGGGAGGGAGCCGTGGCGAAAATCAGGTAGAGGAGATGGTAGAAGAGAAAACACCAGAAATCCAAGAGGAAGCTGTGGTAATGGTATTGGAAAATGGGCAAGTCAGTGCAGAAGAGTCTAAAGGAGAGGGGGAGAGGGAAGAAGACACAGAGGAGATAGCCCATCGAAAAAGGATGGAGGAAGAAGAAAGAGAGAGAGCTGAGGCAGAGAGGCTGAGGTTGGAAGCAGAAGAACAAGAAAGACTCAAGGCTGAGCAAGATAGGAAGCTAGCAGAGGAACAGGCAAGGATCGAAGCTGAGCAAAGGGCAGCTGCAGAAGAAAGGGAAAGGAGGGAGGCAGAGGAGCGGGCAAGGATTGAGGAGGAACAGAGAAGAATGGTTGAGGAGCAACAGAAGGCTAAGGCAGAAGAAGAGGAGAAGGCCAGGCTAGAGGAGCAAAAGCAAAGAAAGCAGCTAGAGAAGCAAAGGAGTGAGAAGCAAGAAGCAAAGGACAAGGGGGACAAGGGAGCTAAGAAGACAGACAGGAAAGGGGTGAATGAAAGGAAAGAGCAAGAAGACAGACTTCAGACAGCTGTCCCAAAGGAGCAGGTACAGTAAGCACTGTGCACCTACTGTGTGATGCCTGTGACTCATGAGAAATGGGATGCACACCAAACTGGGAGCTAAGGCCCGTGCACATCGCCTCACGTGCTTGGTTGTTTGGCAAGCTGCTCCTTTTTTCCAAGCCATAGCAATACCCAAGCACAAAACAGTTGAACCATAGCTAAGTATGCAATCAACCAAATTAATGGGACAACCAGAGATAAATTAATTGCTCTGTGTTTGGGTGTTATGGTTTAAAAAAAAATGAACTAACCTAATGATCCTGAATGCGGTGGGGCTTTGTCAGTGTCTTTCTGCATCTGCATCTGAACTCTGTTTTTCTGACATCTTCCCTGGGTGAACATGAGGCAAGAGGCATATACTTCTCACCTCATTCTGGTGCTTGATAGTAAAATATTATTTTTAATTTTAAAATTAGGGGTGGGGAGTTGAAATGAATTAAGTTCAGACATTTAGTCTTGGAAGATAAAAATATAAATCCTTTGAAAAAGAGACTGTTAGACCCCGACCCAACCAAAAACAACAACAACCAAAAGAAACAAAACAAAAAACAACCCAAAACCTTCGAAAGCCTGACTTGCCATCATGTAGACCTGGGTTTAATGTAGACTTGCAGGAAACCATTCGTCTGGGGTAGTACCAGTTAATGCTTAGTGGACAGTTAAGAGCATGCAGTTTGCTCTTTTTGGCTGTGAGGGTTAGCACGGTTTATGTGGCTCAAGGATAGACAGAAGTAGTGGTTGGGGAGGAAGTGTAACATATAAATGCTTTGTGGTTTGTTTGTTTTTCTCTATCTGCAAGGCTGCATTAGAAACCCTTTCTAAGAGCTGTAAAAGGAAATAGGAATGCTTACACGTTCACCTCTCCAGAGTGAACCCTCCATCACCGCATTGGCTGAAGTTGTTTTTCACCCCTGCTTCTGTACCAAGCCTCGTGCACATGGCTGTGATTAAGAAAGTCATGAGCAGGACATCCTATCTTGCTAGATTTCAGTGAACACATTTGAGGCACGGGAGAAAGAAAATAGGGTAGGATGTATCATACCTACTGACACGACCACTAGCATCACGTACCACTGGCACCAAAGGGCCTGTGTATGGCACTGTGACAGCCACAGAGACATCACTCTGAGTGATCCGAGCACCTGCTCACTCCTGCAAGCTAGAAAGGGCTTGCATTTACCTTTATCATTTTTGAAAAGGAAAGGGAAGAGGAAAGAGGAGCTAAAGGGCAAGCTCAAAGACCAAAGGCCCAAGATAACAAGCCTGCCTTCAAAAAGGAAGAGGTAAATATCATTGAGAACAATCATATCCTACAGCCACACACAAAGCAGCATTCCTGGTTCTAATCTAGGAATTGCAACCCCTCTCCTGTGCTTTTCAGACCATGGTTCATGAGTTATTGAATGATGAGAGAATGTAGAGTGTTTCGGAACTAATTAATCAGGCTGGGGACATGGCCCAGTGGGTAAGGCGCTGGTCATTCGAGCGGGAGGACTTGATTTCGGGCCGCATCACCCACAGAAAAAGCTGGGCACGGTGTAGGGGAGTGTCTGCAATTCCAGCTTTGGGAAGCAAAAACAGAAGGACCTCTAGGGGGCCCAGAGATGCACTGGCAGCCACTCTAGCCTAGCAGTGAGCTGTAGATCCATCAGAAGGCCTTTTCTTAAAAATTAAGGTAGAAAAAAAATGAAGGTAGAGAGCAACAGACAACACCTAAGATCAACCTGTACCTCGCACCCATGCACGTGTGTACACTTGTAAATACACATTCATACATACTAATACAGCGACATGTACACACATACATACACACACCTGTGCAGACAAATTCATACACACCCATATACCACACTCACACATATACTTGATAATCCATAGTTTAAAAAAAAGAAAAATGGAATTGAAAGCATCTCAGGGCATGTAGGCAGTGGTAAAGCATTCTCATTCCAATTGTCTCTCTCTGTGTGTGTCATAGTCAAGAACTTGGCCAGCCCTGCTCCTCAGCCGTGCCTGCTTCCTGCTTCTACAGTGTGACTTTGGTTTCTGGGAGCCCTTCTCTGCTTGCATTTCAATCATGAGATATATTTCCAGCTGGCTTTGATTAATGCTTTAATTTTTTTCAAGAAAAAGCACCCTCCCCAGCCTAAATCACAGTAGAAAATTTGGTGAGCCAAAGATGATACACGGTTTTCAAAAAGAAAAGTTTGGCCAAATCCTCTGCGTAGCATTTACGAGGCTCACACATGGGGGAGCAGGTGCCAGGGTGCTTGTAGGTAAGTAAATGATGCATCTCTACACCCAGTGCCATAGCACTCCAGTATATAATGCCATGGCAGGAAGCCCCACCTTATCCTAGCCATCCTGCCTGTGCTAGCCTCAAGGGACACTACAGATTGCCATGTTATCCCCAGTAAGTTCAAGTAATTAGGTGTGGTAAAACAGAACCACCAGACATAGAAATGCCTGAACTATGTTGCCCAAGAGACTGATGAAAGGAATTGTAGCCACTGGATAGTGGACCAATGGATTCTTGCTACGGTTCTCTGTTCGAGCATCCATTAAGCTGGAGAGATGGCTCAGTAGTTAGGAGTAGCACAGGCTACTCTTCTGGTGGCCCCGGTTCAATTCCCAGCACCTGCATGGCAGCTCACAACTGTCTGTAACTCCAATTCCAGAAGATCTGACACCCTCACGCAGACATACATTTAGGCTTTTGTATGTGGAATAAAAATAATTAAAAAAAAGAAAATCCAGAACTAAAGAAGATTCCACGGGTAGAAAATAGATGGCCATAGTGAGGAGCTGGTGGGTGGTTTTCTTAGGTGGGATTGTAATATTCACATAAGAAGTAAGACCCTGTATCTTCACTTTAAGACTTATGTTCCTCTCTGCTTCTAATAGAACTTGTGGTTTGAACACAAGCATTGGCTTTCTGAAGGAGAGAGAGTGTAAATGTTGATGACCCGGAAACTCTTAGAGCGAAACTGTAATAGTTGTGTCCTACATGGGCAGAAAGCGTGGGATTTGCAGCTCAGGGATAAAGTGCACGGAAGGGAGGCTGTAGGAAGCCCCGCTGGTGCTGTGAAAGTTAACTCATTTCTCCCAGATAATGACTTACCATTCACGGCCAAAGCATCCCACACCTACGCATGCATGGCGTCTGAGTCAGGAGAGGCTCATCCCAGTCATCCATCTGCTTCTTTTCAGATAAGGCAAAGTCTGCGGTATCAGTTAGTCCGGGAGCAGCTGGTGTCAAGCCTGCCATTATCCCTTCCCCAGTTTGCCCCACAGCACATTCCAGCTCTCATAACTTCTGGCCTCATTTTTAGTCCCCCAGTCAGGCTTTCCAGAAGATCACTTTTAACACTTTAACGCTGTATAGACAAACTGCTGCCTGAATGGACAGAGTTCTCCCTTCTCAACCAGCGGGATTGGTGTGTTCTGTAGGCAACCTTAAATCATTCTGCATGAGTCAGTCATTTTAAATACTCTCTGTTCTTTTCTTTCTTTCCCCTTTTTTTTTCTTCTTTTTTTTGGTCACATAAAAGCAAACAGAAGGAACCTCTCCTGGCAGGGATCCACACAACATAGGCAGGCAAGGGCAACCACGAGTAAACAAACATTCCACTGGCCTTTAAGAGAAAACATTTCCCAAAGTCCCTCCAGTGCTTTAAAACACAAACAAATAAGCAAACCCCCTGCCTTCCTCCACTGCAGCTGAACTCTGTGGCAGCCATGGGGTGCAGATGATCGCCAACCTTGAGACATAAATAAGTTTTCTGTCTCTCCTCCTTAATTTTAAGCTGTCTCCTTTTAGTTCTTCACTCCCTATCTATTTTTTTCTTGACTTTTAACAACAACAACAACAAAAACAATTTCTAGCAGAGTGTCTTACGACTTTGAACCTGATCATGCTAAGGACATGCAACATGTCCTTAGCGTGCCGATGCGTCCAGGATTTGGTTAAACAATGATTCGGTGGCTTTAAGCCGGAGTCTAAGCTCTCTGCTGAAGGTCTGCATTGTCAGGAACATATTTCAGGAGCAAGATGCCAGAAGGACATTCATGGGGTAGAACAGGGAACCAGATGAGGACGTAGGGATCTGAAGCTTACAAAGGTCTGCTAACTGTGGAAGCCAGCACTGACGCCAGACTCTTGTTGCTCTTCTGCAACTTTATCATGCAGAGCAGCATGACACGGCGACTCCTGTCTCAGGAGGGGTCACCTGCTCCCGTGGACTTTTTGAATGGTCTCTAGCTTAATGTCATGCCTTCCCACACCCCAGCATGCTCATCTTTCCTCCTGCTAAGTGGGCTTGCCATAGACTTGCCATAAAATCTAATCCACTGTATTCTTTAAAATTTAAAGACCCTGTGGAGCTGTTTCATTCATTTCTCAGGAGAAAATAATTTTCAGTCAATCTCAAGTCGTCATTGTTACACTAAGAATGTTTCTAAGAACGTTTTCCCCTGAGAATATGAGTAGACTGCCCACCTTATAACTCTTCACAACAAGTAGAGTGGGAGGCTGATCTCACAGACATCTATTCTTTTACAAATCTATTTTAAGTAATTTTTTTTTTTGCCAGTAAATTTGATAATATCTTTTGGGGAAATGGAAGTATTTCTGACTTTGGTAAGAGAAGAAATGAGTTAAAAATAAATTTAACTCCGCAGTTGCCACCATAAATCACAAGATGACTCAGAATTTGTTTCATGGGTACCCTGGAAATATTTCCCTTTACCTCTATATTTGTATTTCCAGATACATATTAACCAGGATGTGAACTCTAGCCCATGGCTTTTGGGGCTCTATCCAATAGTGACAGGCCTACAGGAAACTATATTGTTTCCTCCTGCCTATTCAGTGAATACTGATATGTTCTAGGGAGTAAGGACAGCCACCAAGCCATCATGATCTCCCTGTTATACAGGGCATGAGTTATACAGGGCTTGAGCTTCTGTCTCTTTGCTCATACCCAACCCAGGGGTCAAGAGGACAGTATCAAGGTGGAATCTGGAAACAGGTCATTTTTTCCAGCTAAGTCTTGATGAGTGTCCCAGAGAAACTTGGTTGTTAATAGCCCTAGCATCAACCAGCCTCCTGAGTTGCAGACAAATCTCCCAGAGAGGATATAGCAGCAGCATTACAGCCCCCTCTTTAGCATCACCAAGGGACACCAAGCTATACCCCGCCTTGGAGGAAAATCAAAGTCTTAACTAACTAGAGTATTATTGGTGATATTCCAGGGTGATTTAATACCATTTAAGGGAGATTATCCGGCAAAGGACTATGAAAGGTAATCATAACACCATGTTCTACCTTGTAAAACATGCCTTTTAGGAGTAAGTATTCAGAGGGTGTCAATAATGGCTGGAAAGCAGTGGGTGATCAGATAAAGGGAAGCAGTTCTAGAGAGCCTAAAGCCCCGCGCTCTTATCATCTACCTTTCCTCCTCCGAATGTTCCTGCCGAGCACTGGCTCTTTGCAACTGTCTTGAAAAGGACAATGGACATCACTCTCTCCTGTTCATGTTTTTAGAATGGATGAGATAGTAAATTGAACTCTGCCCATCTCAAAAGCCACTTTAAAATAGTCTGTCTCATCTATCATGAGAAATTTACAACACAACAACCACAAAACACCAGAGCTCCTGCTTCCCCTCTGCACAGCCTCTGTGTTCCACAAGGATCACAAAACCACGTCTGGAGGTCTAAATCTTTCCTATCAGTGGAAATCAGTGTGTACCCCAGAACTGTTCCTGTCCCCTTCTAACATTAGTGGTTTATGTGGCTTCAAACATGATTCTAAGTCTTTCTCCTAAGTAGGTTATGTGTTGCCTCCTTGGGATACCTTACTAATTTGCCTGGAAAGCCTAAATGGTTTTCCCCAGAATTGATGGATCTGGATACCCTGCTGGCTTTTCTCTTATTTCTTCCTTATTAGGCCCTTGTCAACGATGCTCTCTTTAGCCAAGAAGAAACTTGGCCAAGCCACACTGCCACTCTTCCATCAAAACCACACCTGTAACTGCTCTTCCTGGTGGGGTTCCCAGGACTAGATGGTTTCCAGAAATAACAACAGTACTGCTCTCCCAAATAAAAACTCCAGTGAGATCAGCAATGGATCTTGACTTCCTAAAATTATGGTCCAGGTGTTGGCTCACAAACTAAAGAGCCATGGTTACTCTCTAATAATGTTCTTGATTTCATTTTTACATTGTGTTCTGGACAGTTGCTCTACCTCAAGTCTAATGAGTTCTTTAAGAGCCGAGGGTCTTCGTAATAACCAACCAAAACCCAGGAAGATGTTGATAGTTATTTCTTTGTATGTATCCTTGGTTAGATCAAAGATGAGAAGATTAAAAAGGACAAAGAGCCCAAAGAAGAAGTCAAGAGCTTCTTGGATCGCAAGAAAGGATTTACAGAAGTGAAGGCACAGAATGGAGAATTCATGACACACAAACTTAAACAAACCGAGAATGCTTTCAGGTAAGTCGTGACTAACAGTCACTGCCTTCTCATATGTGGGAAGGAGAGTAGGTCTCCTTGCCATGTGCCTCCAGACAGAAGGGAACTAATCAAACAGCATTTTTCTGTTTCAACATCATTGGCCATTGTCTTAAGGACACACAGTCAAGCAGGTCCTGTTTCACTGTCACTAACAGGAGACCAGCAACCATTGTTCAACCACAGCTTACCATATACATACATACATACATATACATAATGCTTAGTGTTCATGTTTTGACCTAGTATTCTTATGTGGTATCAGTGCATTAAGAAATATTATGAGTAAGATTAGTTGATTCATACTTTAAATGGTCAAGACAGCTTCTTTTGACCCTATCTTGGTATCATTTTTGAGAGTTCATTTTTGTAAGGTTGTAAATGAGTGTTTCATGAATCTCACATTATTCTGTGGCCCAAAAACTTGGAGCACATTAGGTTAAACCAACTCACAGCTCTTTACCATAAGATTTTAAAAGCCCCCGGGAAACTTGTAAGGAAACCAAAGTGGCACTTGCCTTTATTTTCCTATTTTTAGGGGTGTGTGTGTGTGTGTGTGTGTGTGTGTGTGTGTTTCTTTCCCTCAGAGAGAGAGAGAGTAACAGGTCACTACAATATAATTCATTTTTGTTCATCTGCCAGAGTCTGCTTTGGTGTCTGTTAGGAGTTGATGCCCCTAGAAGGAGAGAATGATACATCCCATATATGTACACAGTGAGGAATATGGTAAGAGCCTCTAGTTAGATGCTTATCTACCTGCTGAGCTGAAAGCAAGCTGTGCTCTTCGTGGGCAAAAGCCTGGTGTCTGATTTGCCTTAAACTTAAGAAACCCAAAGACAAGACAGAACTTTCTGGAAGCTATTTTAATATATCCACCCTGATGCTAGGAGCCTACCAACATGTATAGCAGAGGCAGGATAGCCAAAGTCTTGCTCCTGTTTTGGTGAAAGTTGACTCGATTCATTATTTTTAAGATTAGAAGTAATTTTTTTAAAATATTTGGCCACCAGTAACATGTATTCCAGTTACTTTCCTATGTATGTAATACTCAAGATAGACACACACACACACAGACAGGATCATACTATATACACGTAAGTGAATGTGATCAGAAATGTGTATTTTAAATTGGTCTTGCACCGTGCACAGTACGGTGTGCCCAGCTGTGTAAATCTAAGCCAGCTTAGTGATTCGAGGTGTGCCTCTGCATGATGACTTCCTCCAGGCGACACTCTGATTATACTAAAGACTGAGCGACACCTAGTGGACCCAGAGAAGAGTCCACGGGCATGTTTCCTCAGCCACACATGCCGATCATAGAAAGAGCAAACGAGTTTCCAAAAATCCAAAGACCTTTGCTTACAGGGGAGTCACTCATTTTGAGTTCAAAATGAGAGTTCATCCTTAACCATCAAGAACCTAGGTAAAATATGCTGATACTTTAGAATTGTAACAAACACATTTTATGTAGTGATCCTACCCCACAAAAACTCACACAGACATGTTTATAGCTAAAACAAGTTGTTTCAAAACATGGTACTTTTTATTTTTTATTTATTTTTATTTTTTAATTTTAATTTTTATTTTTGGCTTTTTGAGACTGAGTTTCTCTGTGTGGCCTTGGCTCCTCCTGGACTTGGTTTGTAGACCAGGATGACCTTGAACTCAGAGATCCGCCTGCCTCCTGAATGCTGGGATTATAGGCATGTAACACCATACCTGGCTAATACTATATTTTTCTCTACACAGCACACTTCCAATTTTTTTTCACTTTTTAAAATATTGAGAGAAATCTACTAAACTGATTTTTTCTTATCGTGAAGCCTGAAACACATTGTCTTAGAAGTAACAGTATATTCTGAACTACCTCTGTGTTCAGAAACATGAGGTGTGTAAGATCATATTGTGCATTGCACATTTTGAGCCCATTCCTTGTTTCATTTATTCTTTTGCTCCACAGCTGGAGCACTGTGCCATCCATCACATAGAACAAATATTAAATAGTGGTGATTCATTTGTTTCTTAGACAAAGGTGTCAAGTGTGGGATTCATGTGTTAGGATCTAGTTAGTAATGACCTCACTACCTGTTATGTATTTAAATAGAAGCCATTCTACGTCTCTACCTCTCAGTTAAAGAGCCCCTGTCACAAGGCCCTTCCGTTCTTAGAAGATGGAGCTTGTGTGCCATCACTAATGAAAACAGAGTAGGCTTTGCTGTTGCTCAGCACCCGTCCATCTTGTTTTTGAGGCAGTGTCTCTCACTGTTCGAGAGTAGGCGGGGCTGGCTTTCCAGGCTGGCTGCCTAACTTGCTCCTCACAACACACCCAGCTTTTGCACGTGGCTTCTGGGGATTGAACTCAGGTCCTCATGTTTGCATGGCAAACACTTTGCTGATTGAGCTATCTCTGCAGCCCTCAACTACTTTCTGCAGTTTGAACAAATTGTTCATTCTCATCTTGTTCATAAAAATAGAAATTTTATGACTACCACTACCTCTCCAGTTATTATGGCCATTAAATGAGATAATACATTTGAAAAATTTATAAGGTATAACAAATGACCCCTTCAATAACTAGCCTAATTACACCACATCAGTGATAATTTAGTAGTTTTAAATCCTGAGAAAGGATACCTAGCTGTGTTGGAGTCAGAGAGAGTAGAAATACATCTTGGAGTAAGAGGTTAGTATAACAGTCATTAAGAAATTTTTTCCAGAAGCTCTATCAAAATGACATACTTTACTGAGTTTAACTATAAATAAATAAATAAATAAATAAATAAATAAATAAATAAATAAATAAATAAATAAATAAGGGTCAGATAGTGGCAAATTCCTGTAATCCCAGCATTTATGAGGCTGAGACAGAAGAAAGATTATGAGCTTGGGCTAGAGGTCAGCTGTAGAAAGACCCAAAAAAACAACAAAACCAAAACCAAAAACAAAAACCAAAAACAAAACCAAAAACAAAACCAAACAAAACAACAACAAAAACCAATAAAACAAACCCGATAGTTTGCTAGTGTTACCTGTATTCTCAATGTCCTGCACTCACACACAGCTCCTTCTTGGCCACCTCCTATGCCTCAGAGGACCACCATTCCCTTTCTGCTTCCCTGAATTTGATGTTACTATAGATCCCTAACACAAGTAGAATTTTGAGCCATTTGTCCTTTATAACTAGTCTCATTGAGCATACTACTTTCAAGCCCATCCACCCTTGCAGCGTGTGCAAGTATTTCTTTGGAAGGCTGAATGTATGCCATGGTAAGGATGTACCACATTATGCTAATCCCTTCATCCCACATTGGGCTTAGGGTTCCTTCTATCTCCTGGCCTTTGTGTATGACACTGTTCAATAAAGGAGACCGGGAACAGTGCAGTCTCCCTCCCGGACCTCAGATTAGGCACAAACCACACCCAAACATCCATTTTCACAGAGATTCTTTATTAATAGAGGAAGAAAAGTTAAAGTGGCTGCTTTCTGACTCAGGCAGAAAGATAGCAGCAAATTACCTTTTAGGTTCAATTTTTAAGATAAAAGGAAGGTCTGTGTTAGAATGGGCTAGGATGCAGTGATATATTTTAATTGGGCATGTGAACTAGGTAAGCCAAAGGGGCTTTTCCTTGCTAGTCTTAATACAGTGATAGCCTCAAGAGGAGGAAGTGGACAAAAAAAGGGAAGAGGCCTTGGTGGCTATCTTTAAGAATGTAATCTAAAGGTCTTTAGAGCTGGCCAAAGTCCCTTCATTGAATCATCTCAAGACTAGGCTTTCCATCCTTTTGCATATATGCCAAGTGGCATGACTGGATCATATATGAATATTATTATTCTCAGGGTTGCACAGGTACGGGATACTTCCCCCACATTAGATGCTACATTTTTACTTCACCCTGATAGAGGCATTCCGAAAGTCCTCACGTTCCATGTAGACACAACCACCCCCAGCGCTGGTGTAGGGATCAGTTGCCTGGGTAGTTTCGGCAGACAGACATCTCCCTCCTTCCAACCAGGGCTGCAAGACAGAACCAGGTAACTAAACCGCCTTTCCTTTCCTCCTCCCCAGCCGCTCAGGAGGCAGGGCCGGTGGGGACAAGGAAGCCGAAGGCGCCACACAAGTGGAAGCCGGCAAGAGGCTCGAGGAGCTGCGCCGGCGCCGCGGGGAGACGGAGAGCGAAGAGTTCGAAAAACTCAAACAGAAGCAGCAGGAGGCAGCCCTGGAGCTGGAAGAGCTGAAGAAAAAGAGGGAAGAGAGAAGGAAGGTCCTGGAGGAAGAGGAGCAGAAGAGGAAGCAGGAGGAGGCTGACCGAAAAGCAAGAGAGGAGGTAAGGGTTGCCTGGCCCAGCCACGGGAAACCCAGATGTTTCCAAGTCCTTAAACGCATGGCCGGTGACCTTGTAGCCCAGAGAGGAACAATCCCCTGAAAGAAGTCCCCTGCTGCTCTTCTGAGTGTGGGGCGGTAGCTCAGTCAGTACACTGCTTGCTCAGCATGCGCAAAGAAAGCCCTAGGTTCAATCCAGAGCAGTACATATACCCACGTGGTGGAGCCCCCCTGCAGTCCTCAGGGTGGAGAAGAATCAGAAGTTCACGGTTGTTCTTTTTCACTACATATCAAGTTTGAGACTGGCCTGGGTTACAGAAGACCCCGACTCACAATAATAATAATAACAATCATTTATTATCAGCTTAGCAAGTACTAGCGTGTTTCTGAGCCTTGGGTACGCATGTCTCTATTTTCTAGATGAAGAAACCACACACAGAGAGACTGTGTCATTTTCCCACTTAGCCTATTGTCCTAGATAGCCTCTCAGTAAAGACCCATGGGAAATCTTAGAGAGATGAAAAGTCTGTCACCTATCACAGGGCCAAGCTAGGAAGCAGGCTGGATGTGGCGGGTTCGTGCCTGGAATCCTGGCACTGGAAGGCTGGAACAGTAGGATCTTGAGTTTAAGGCCAGTCTGGGTTCTATAGTAAGTTCCAGTCCAGCCTAGGTTACACAGAGGAACTCTACCTGCAAACAAAATAAAACAAAAAGGGAAAGAAAAGAAAAACAGCTGTTTCATGATGTCCAGTATTTGAAGTATTCAGAGATATGATATATTATTATTGCTACTTTCTGTGTGTGAAAGATATGTGCACATGTGTGTGTGTGTGTGTGTACCTGTGTGTGATGGTCAGAGGACAGCTCTGTGGAGTTGATTTTCTCCTTTCCCATTTTATGTGGGTTCCAAGAATCATCTTCAGGTCTCCAGGCTTCCATCACAAACACCTTTACTGCTGAGCCATCTCCCTGGCCCTAACGTTTCTCCAAGATTAGAATACACAGAAGCTAGGATGGTGTCTGCTTTGCTTACTGCTACACACCAGGACCCAACATAGGGTCCTGTGTCACGGAAGCCCTGGCACTGTTGCAGATGCATTTATTCCAATCTTAACACAGAACAGGTCAGGTTACAAGGAGGGAAACTTGACCTCAGAATTTGTTAAATCAGCTTCCACTTAGATTGCTAAGGTTTACAAAGTGTATTTTTTTCCTTTCATCCTGGGGTACAGTCTGATTTTATGGGGAAAGAAACCAGGAATCCAGTCATTAGAACGACTTGTTTTAAGTTGTTGGATGGATACATGAAGGGATAAGTGTAAGGACCCTGCTCTTCCAACTCCTGAGCCTAGAACTTTCCAGGCCTCAAGCTCCTAGTCCCTCAAAATGTGTGAAAAGATTTTCATAGATTTGTTTTTCTGACACGGGTATTATACAGTTTCTCTAAGTTTGAATTATTCCAGTGGCTCTTCCAACTCCAGCTTTCAGTGAGGCCGAGAATGATGCCTTCAGCTGAGTCATGGGCTACCACTAAGTCATCTCAATTTGCCAAACTCATGCTGTCTGCCAGACGTGGTACCATAGATTTGTAGCCCTTTTTGCACAAAGGATTCCATCTTGACAAGTCTTCCTGGAAGCTGGAAGAGGGGGCCTTTGCCTTCATTTATATGTTCAGAAGTAGAAGGTGCCTTATAAGCTTGTGACGGTGACCTTTCACCTTCAAGGGAGACTTGTCAAGCAGAATGGGAATCTAAATATTTCCCGCACATTTTTCTAAATTGGTCGTCATGAAACTAGATGACTGCTGTGATTTTCTGCTTTATAAATGAGCATACTGAGGCAGGTAGCAGATAAGACCAAGGTCACACTGGTAGAAAGTGCCCTTCCAGAATGCAAATCCAGGTAGCGGGCCTGCTGTGCTGGACACCGCAGAAGATACACAACATCCGTGCCAGGGTTGAGTCTGTTGCCTGATGCTCTCGTGCTCACAGCACTTGAAGCAGACTCTGATGTGCCTGCATTTGCTCTGCCTCAGGAAGAGAAGAGGAGGCTAAAGGAAGAGATTGAACGGAGAAGGGCAGAAGCTGCTGAGAAACGCCAGAAGATGCCAGAAGATGGCCTGTCCGAGGACAAGAAGCCATTCAAGTGCTTCACCCCTAAAGGCTCATCTCTCAAGGTACTCTCCTCCAGAGACTCTTGTAAAGCTTCCCTTCCAGTGCCATACGAGTCTCAAAGGAATTCTCACTTGACCATCCAAGACTTGCTTGGCTCTATGTAACTCTTTGCTGTCCTGTGTTAATCTACTCTGGCTGCTATATCAAAACATCTTAAACTGGGTAACTGAGAAATATATTGCCCACAGTTCTGGAGGATGAAAAGTCCAAGACCTAGACACTAGCAAATTCAGTATCTGGTTCTTCGTAGATGACACCTCCTTACCATGTTCTTATATGGTGGAAGGGAAAAGGGGCAAGCAAGCATACTTCAGCTTCTTTAAGAGGACACTAATCCCATTCATGAGGAGTCCATCCAAAGGCCCCACCTCTTATATAGCACATTGGGGATTGGATAGCACCATATGGAAGGCTACAAGCATTTGACTCCTGACTCTTTCAGCTGCTTTTTATGTTAGTTTTGTGATTACTAAAAGCAGAGCAACTGGAATTGGTCCAGGTTCAAATTGCAAAGCTGTTCCTGTAGGAGATGAGATGCAACTTGGATAGGCTCATTTTCCAGGACAGATAGGTCTTATTACTGCCTGCATGGAGCAGAGCACCTAACTCTCATGGCAGAAGCTCTTTCCCAGAGAAAAGGAGATGAAGTAAGGGAGACTGTAGAATGATGGAGATGTGGGGGAAAACAGTTGACCCAGTTGGTCATTTATTACCAAATCTGCTGCTTTGAACACGCAGTATGCTACCTTATGTACTTAATAAAGGTATTTAATAAAGATTCGCAGATGTCTGTGAAAGAGTGAGTGAGTCCTCAGAGAACCTTTAAAATCTGTATCCTGGCCTCTTCTACCATCAGCCTAGCTAGACTACAACCATCAACAACTGGCAAAGCTGGTGTGGTCACAGCCAGGCACCCATGGCTACCTGTACTTGCAGTATATGAAAGTGACCAAAAACCAGTCACCTCCACTTTACAAGATATTAGCTATTGAAGCCACACATGCACAGACAAGTCTCAGCTCTGCTCCATGCTGCACTGGACTTCCCGCCACCCTCCATACCCGAAAGCTCTGTAAAGCATTTGATTTGTAAACATGAATAAAACACATATAGTTTCCCCTCTGGCTTATGCCACCACCCCCCTTCATAAGTTCTTTTGGGAAATTGTAAACTAAAACACTCAGTTCAAATATAAAAACTTTTGACAAGCCTTCTCCTGTTCCTACTTCGTCTTATAGATGTGGCATCATGTTCTTCATCACATTTAATATGGTCACTACCACTGATATTTAAATGTGTTATTGATACGTTCTTCTAATCTACTAATCTACTAATATGTTCTTCTAATCTACTAAGTGTGTTATCCTTACAGGACCCTTGGTTCCCTTAGTCTGCTAAGGAACACACATGCATAAAGGCCCCATAGCCTAACCTGCCCAGGATCTACTATGGTGACCTGCCCAAGGCTGAGAAATCAGAATGTTTCCTTCTCTCAGTCAATTTGAATAATTATAACAGATTGCTATAGATTGAATAGTTATCATTTGTCAGGTGTGGCAGCTCATGCCTGTCAATCCAGCACTTAAGAGACTGAAGCAGGAGAAAATAAGAATTCAAGGACAGCCTACACTATATAGTAAGACTTTATCTCAAAAAACAAACAAACAAACGAATAAAACTCAATCACCTAAGTCAAGTAAACATTTGTTTTCCACAATTTTGGAGACTGAGAAGTGTGAGGTCATTGGCATGCCATCACTGCTAAGTCCTGGAAAGGGTTCTCTTCCTCTTCCGCAAATGGACACATTCTTGCTGGCCCCTCATATGCCAGAGCAAAAGAGAATAGGCAAGTTCTTTTCAATCAATGCACTAATGCCATTCATGATGACTCCACCCTCCTGACACAATTACCCTCCAAAGGACCCACTTCCAAATTTCATCACATTGAGATACAAATAATTAATTTGTCATTGATCTGTATTGTGGAAGGCCATCTTTCTGGCTGTTATTGCTTTCAAAGCTTAATACCTCCACCTTACTCCCCCCGCCTCCCTGTATTCTTTATCCTCTTCTAATCCTACATTCACTTCCCCAGTCTCAAATACATTATTCATGGTTTTCTCCCCATCCAGGGTACTGTGAACAGCACTGTAGTGCTCTCACATGTTATGTGGCATTTTTTTAAATTTTATTTACCAGGTTCAAGAATGATAGTGGTGTGATTGAAGGGCACTGTAATAAGAGACAGGCCACAAAGCAGGACCAAAGGCAAAACTGGTACCATTCTGGGTGTGTCTTGCATTCCACAAGTGCTCAGAAGGTATTTCAAAGGCACACTGGTGTAGTCTCTATTTAGTCATGCCTCAGTCTTTCAGACTTCAGAACTTCCAGGAGTTAGGACTTTTGCACACACTGTTCCCTTCGCATATTCACAAGGGTTCTTTCTTTTTCTTTATTTCTAGATAGAGGAACGAGCAGAATTTTTGAATAAGTCTGTGCAGAAAAGGTAAATATAGTTGATTGTTCATTTGAGAGTCAAATGAAACAGCTGTCTCACACATGAATAGATGACATTGTCTCCTATTTTCATGTCTGTGCTTATTTGGCAGTGGTGTCAAATCTCCTCATCAAGCAGCAGTAGTCTCCAAGATTGACAGCCGGCTGGAGCAGTACACCAATGCGATTGAGGTGAGCACTATTCCCAGGTCACAGTCCTGTAAAACAGAAACAGACTGTGGTTCACACTTGATCACAGAAACACTTGGTGTGATGAACGAGGCTGGCACCCTGATAATATTAGAATATTAATAATGACCTCCATAACTGTGAACTAGCTATGGAGAACCACAATAAAAAGATGCATTAGAGACTTTTGAATAGATTGCTTCTTTTTTTTTCTATTAGATTCTTTTATTGTTGCTGTGATGAAATACAGAAAAGCACAACTTAAAGAATGAAAGCCTTTTGGCTCACAGTTTGAGGGGTACAGTTTATTTTTAGAGGGGAAGACATGGTAGCAAGAGCATTAGGCAGCTTGTCACATTGTATCCACACAAAAAGAAGCAGAGCTATGAATGATGGTACTCAGTTTACACTCTCCTTTTTATTTTGTTTGCAACACTAGCCCATGGAATAGTGCCATTAACAGTTAAGGAAGGTATACCCAACCTCAATTAACCTAATCTAGAAACCTAATCTGAAAACTCCCTTACAGATACACCCAGAGATTTGTCCCCTAAGTGATTCGAATAGATTCGAATATTCAGACACCTATAGTCTGAAATTTTCTTTGAAGTGAGTGAATTCAATGAATAGATTTTATTTTATATTTTTCAATTTTATGTGTACAGATGATTTGCCTGCACCTCTGAAACTGGAGTTATAGTTGTGAGTCACCATGTGGGTGCTGGAAACTGAATCTAGATCCTCTGTAAGAACAGCAAGTATTCTAAATCACTAAGCCTTCTCTCCAGCTGCTGATAGAATGAGTGATATATGCATTATAGGTAGTCAAAAATGCATCTTCAGTTTTGTTTGTAGAAACCTATTAACAAACAGTCACATAAAATAGTGTCAAGATGAAAGCCGACTTCTGTTCAATCAACATGCACTTTAATTGGTTGGTTAGTGTTTAAAGGGTCATAGTTTTATGCTTCTATCCACTTTTCTTTCCACTCAGTTGACCTGGGGGTCTGATTATGTTTGGGAATAATCTGTCCAATGATGCGAGAGAGTAGCATCATTGATCAGGACGTGATGCTGGTCTGTTCGTTTTCCTTTGCACAGACTTGAGCAGTGGTTTTTGCCTTCTGTATCAGCATCAGCAACAAAAGGACTGGATCCTGTTCTTTTGCCTTTTCTCCTCGCCTTTGTACGAGGAGTGGAGATGCCTACGAAGTGCTTCACAAACGGCGAGCATGATTAAAAGAGAGGGTCTTACAATTTATCAAGCCTTAATGAAGCGCTAACACCCAACATGTGATTTTTTTTTCTCTCTCACAAGATTGGGTATCCACTAAACTATGACAAACTATAGACAGTTAATCTCTGGTTGTATTGGTCCTGGCACTAACGGATTGAATGAGGCCAAGGCTCTGGTCTTGGACTTTGCATAGACTTGTAAGATCATTTTCTTATGGCCACTAAAGATGCTGCTCCTCTCTGATAAACTATCAAGCACAAATCAGGACTGATGGAGAAACTTGTGTCACTCTGGGCTTGTCTTTGTTTACTGCTGGGAAAGTCTCTCAAAGACATGCCCTTCTTACTTGTAGCCTTTCTTCCTTCTAGTATACTCTCTGTGCTGTTCCACCTCAGCCTTTCAGTCTTGAAGACCCTCTCTTCTTCAGGACATCTGCAATGCTGTTTTCTACATAGAATGAAGGCCTCCTCCTAGTCCCTTACCACTTCTGCGTCTCCTTTAGAATCTGGTTGTAAATGTTACTTCCAAAGTATACCCTGGGCCTGATTTATGTTCCCAAACTAAATATAATTCCCCTGTTATGTGTTTTCTTCTTGGGCTGTATTACAATCAGTTATTTTTCTTAGCATTTACTACAATGCAAAGTAAGTACTAGTATACCGGCTACTGTCATTTATCCTGCTAGAATATAAATTTACCATGACTTACGGAACTAACTGGTTTGCTTTGACAAACTCTAGCAAAGTTCACATGTGTAGTAGTTGCTAAAAACAAAACAAAACAAAACAAAAACCCCTATCTGCTGGGTCTAGGGAATGGGCTCAGCAGATAAGGCGCTTGCCCTGTAATCATGAGGACTATAGTTCACCCACATAAAGGCTGAAGGCATGGCAGCCAATAATCTCAGCTTGTGGGAGGCAGAGACAGGGATCCCTGAAGCCAGCTGCCTAGCTAGACTAGCAGAATCTGTGAAGTCCAGGTTCAGTGAGAGACCCTGCCTTAATGTTTAAAGTGGAGAGCAATCATGAAAAACACTGGACATAGACCTCTGGCCTCCACACACACATACTTACACACATATGTAAACACATGCGCACAACACACACATACATATTTTTAAAAGCCTATCTACTGGAGAGGCTTGGGAACTAGCTTATTCAGCACCTGCACAAGCAGCAAGAGCCTAAGTTTGAGCCCTAGAACCCACATAAAAAGCCGGGAGTGGTGGCACACATTGAGTCAGTGCAGAGGAGTCAGAGACAAGCAGATTCCTGGAGGTCACTGACCAGGCGGCCTAGCTGAATCCATGATCCCAAGTCATGAGACCCTTACTCAAAAACAAACAAACAAAGAAACAAACAAACAAACCAAAACAAACACCAAAATATCTGCTGGAGAACTGGCGTCCTCTGCTGCCTTATGATAGGGGTCCCAAATGGCATGTGTCTGAGAGAGCCTCTGCTCCAGCTCTGAGGGTTTGTGTGGAGAACCCCACCATCAGAATGGGGGTTATACGACAGAAATTACGAACCCCTTTTGATGGAAGTTCACACCATGATAGTTTTAGTTGCTCGTATTGAGAAAGACTGGCCCGCTGTCATTTTAAGAGGACACACTTCTCAACGCTGTCTCCAAACTTTATTTACACATTTTAGGGAACAAAAGCTTCAAAACCTACTAAGCCTGCAGCGTCGGATCTTCCTGTTCCTGCTGAAGGTGTCCGCAATATCAAGAGCATGTGGGAGAAAGGGGATGTGTTTTCATCTCCCTCTGCCTCGGCAACACCAAATAAGGTACAGGTGTGGCTCTCATCTTAAGTCTTGAAGAGTGGACTTTTTTCCATTTATTTTAGGAATAGCCTTCATTCACAAGAAGTGCAATAAAGAACGTATAAGCTGCACTTGGATTTGCCCCCCCCCAAACAACAAAAACCCCAAACCAACCAACCAAACAAACAAGAAAACTGTCTCGTAGAGAATGTATTCATGGGCTCCCTGTGCGGCCATGGACCACTAAATGAAATGCTTGAGTTTAATTATCAGCCATTAGGGTTGGAATGGGATGAGGGAACTTTTTTTAAAGATTTATTTTACGTCTGGTGTTTCACCTGTATGTATGTCTGTGCACTGTGTGCATGCCAGGTGCTTACAGAAGGCAGAAGAGTATAGGCTCTTCTTCCATGCATGCCGGGATATAACCCAGGACCCATGGGAAAGCAGCCAGTGCTCTTAACTGCCGAACCAGATTTTTCACCCTTCCAGGTTCAGAGACAATAAAAGGGGCAGAATCAACACAACACATATAATTACAAAAGAGGGTTTAGCTGGTTTCTATGGAGGCTGGGTCAGTGGCCAGCTGCACGCTGGAGAGGCTGAAAGCCCACTGGAGCTTGTTTAGCAGTCCCAATCCAGTGGTGAAGGCCGGGGCTCCTGGAGAGCTGCTGGGCTTTAGTCCACACTGGAAGGGTGACATCAGTGGGTTCCCACGTCAGAGAAGGAACTGTGGCTACCCAAACAATAAAGGCACTCCCCAGCAAGACAGGAAGCTGACAGGCAAAGCGCCCTTCTTCATATCTGGCCACTGCCAGAAGGTGCTGCCACCTAGGGGTGGAGGAGTGTCTCTTCCCATCTTCTCTAGTTAATCCTTCAGGCAAATTGATAGTCAAGATCAGTTATCGAAGACTTAAGCATATCTTGAAGTTTACTCAGAAGACTTCTTGGGTGAATGTACTTTTTTCTTTAATATTTGGGGTGATTGGCTCTTTGTAGGAGACTGCTGGCCTGAAGGTGGGCGTTTCCAGCCGCATCAATGAATGGCTAACTAAATCTCCAGATAGCAACAAGTTACCAGCTCCCAAGCCTTCTGTGAGTAGTCGGGGTTTCCGAGTCTCTCTGCTCTCACAGCTTCCACAGCAGAATAAAAGAGAGTCGGCTCACTTGCCTAGGAATGGTGGCTTTCCTGTCCTCTGCCGCTGAGCGGGTGTGCCGACTCAGCGTGGCCCGGACAACCGTGCCACCATCACTCGCAGGGTAAAAGGGAAGCTTTCTCTGCCTGAGAGAGGCGGGAACTTAGTGTTGGGCAGATTCTCTGCATTTCTCTCTTTTTCCTTTATTTATTTACTTCCTTGTTTATTTGGCTTCTATTCAACAAAAGCCATACTACTCTGGCTACTTCTCTATTATAAGTATTCCAAAATTTATTCCCAAAAGATTGTGTATTTTTACTGTTTTGAGGCCATGTTTCTAATTTCACCTAATTTCTATAATTTAACACAAAATAGTTATTGAGCAGCTTGAAATAGTTGCTATTATATATTTATATGATATATGTAATATAGATTGAATAATTTGTTATCAATACCTGCAAAGGAAAACCATAAAAAATTGAAACTAGAAAACTGGAAACCTCTCCCTCCCCCATGACCGGTAAAAATGAAAACTACAAAGACTGGCTATCAATATTATTTTAGAGAGCTAAACACTTTGTTTACTAAGTGTAAGCTAGTTATGCAAATATTCTTTTAACTCTTTCACTGGATATATGTAATGGCCTTACAGTTGTTGGAATAAACAAGCCATTCACATTCTGCACTCAGTCTGCTCTGCTAAGCTGAATCTGTAGCTTTATTGGTATCATGGGAGTAGAGAATGAACTGCCATAACCCACATTCATTTTTTTTTCTCACTTTTTATTTTTCTGTGTGTTTTTGAGACAGGGTCTCTCTACATAACCTGGCTATCTTGGTACTCACTATGTAAACCAGGCTGGCAATATAACCTGCACTTTATAAGAAAAAAAAATCTCAGATTCCAGGCCTTTAAAGTGTTAAGCCCTGCAGCATTTTATTGCATCTGTTGGCTCCACATATAATCTCATGTCACTAAATCCTAGCACTTTCCAAGTTACAAAGGAGAGATGGAAATGTTTGTATTGTCTTTTTGGGTGCAATACCTTGAGCTTTTTTAGTTAATATTCTACCCAAGAGTCTTTGCATGAAGCTTCATAGGAGGCATATGCCAGTATGAACTCAAGTTACAGTTGTGAAAACATTATATATTGAAAAATTTTCTCTCTGCCCCCAAGTAGGTAAAGGATAAGGAGTCAGAAAAAGAAGAAAGGGAGGCAAGACAGCACACCCAGATGTGGTTTGGGGGCCTCGAGTTTCACCACCAGCCATCTTGACATGAGTAGAAGAAATTATTTTTACACAGAAACAAATTATGGTCATTTCTATCAATGATTTCTGGAACTATGACCACTAATTTTTGAATTATGGATCCCTTTGATAGCACAATGAAATACCCTTCTATAAGTTGTAAATCTGAGAAGTTCATGGACACACACGCACACTGCCTCTTAAAGGACTCTCATGAGAGGAAAAAGAAGGGCACCAAGATAATGCTTTCTCTTTGAGTATGGCAGCCTACCTCTAACAAGATGAGCATTCCCTTCCTTCCATGTTTCCTGCACGCATGCTCTATTTCATTCCTGTACCAAGTTGTTCTCACGCATTTAGTTCAGGGATTTCTCTCCATTCTTTTATCAGCACCTGTCCTGACCAACTCCCCTTCTTCTATATGCCATTCTAGTAAAAGGGTTGAATATAAGCGGAGTTATTATTACTATAGATATAAATATATTAAGGATCCCACACCAAAGATTAGTAAAAACAGTTTCTGGGGCTATTGATAGCCTCTTAAAAAGTGGCAGAACAAAAAAAGTAATACAGGAGACTTATAAAATCAAGGGCTGCTTGATTTCATATTTAATAAGTGATTCATAGACTTATCTAGAGAAGGCAGAGAGGGAAAGAATATAACAGTTAATATAGATTTTAGTGAGCACTTTCTTCCCATTGGATTCTGTGGATTTGTGTGGCCTCAAATTAGGACCAGATTGGAAATAAGAAACACATACTTGATATCACAAATTAAATGCTAGTTTGGTTATACTCATTAAGCCTTTCTAAACTGTGCATACATTCCTCTGGTAGTATTTTCCTCTGATATTTAAGACCTAGCACCCACCATGTCATATTGTAGCTAGTAATGTGGCGGTCTTCAGGAAAACCAGGACTTGGAACCCAGGCAAGGCAGGGGAGGTGATGCAGTGACTCTGTGGGCCCAGCAGAAAGGAGGTAAAGTTTCAGTGTGGAAAGGGTACCAGAATTCTGCACATGTGTAAAGACTTTTTACATAAAATGTCCAAGGAAGGTAGGTTACAAAGATAAGAGATCGCAGGTCTTGTCCATGAGATGTAGCACTAGTGACCTGAAGCTAAGCTTTGACCCACACTGTTGTGTTTATTTTTCAAGTTATAATTTACACATATTTTTGAAGTATGGAAACACATTCTTGAATGTATTGGTTCCAGTCTCTCTTTCTTTTCTTATACCAGCCTCTTCAGACATGAGTGTTTCTATCTTGGTCCTTCAAGACAACCAGGTGGGATCTTTGGGGCTTTCGCTAGACTGATCCTGAGCCCAGGATGTTAGAGCATTATCTGAAAGCAGCACCCAGTAGGAGAACTACAAGAGTAGCTTCTGATTCTGGACCAGATAGTTTATTCAACCCATTTCTTTTATTCTCACCACGGGTAGGTGGAGGAGAAGGCTTAGACTTGTTGTTTGAAGGTGTGTCTCTTGTGACCATTAGAAAAAAGTCAAGAGAGTTATTCAAACAAGGCAGTCTATCCATTGTGAAACCTACAGAGGAAGTAGAAGAATAATTCACAGGACTAGTGTTAGTGTGCTGGGTTCTAAAACTCAGAAGAAAAACCACCCAAGACTAAGAGAGTTATGTTATCATCTTCAGAAATGCTAAAAATTACAAGTGCTGAAAATTGTTAGCACTATTCCCCCCCCCCAAATCAGCAGATTTAAAATAAAAACACTGTCCTGCATTGTGTGTCTTACTGGGATATTCAAGCTATTTATGAGTAGAATTTATAGGCTTCCAGTATAACTTTATAGCTGGCATTTAATTCTGAATGTTTTAGCTGGTTTGTCTATTCTTTGTATCTAAACTGTTATGTCATGTAGCAATTAAAGTGCTAACTTGTCTTTCTTTTTGTTTGAAAAAAGAATGATGTCTTTCTCAGCTGGCTTCTCTTCTTCACTCTTTCATGTCTGGTTGACTGGAAACCTGCCTTTCCTGCCTTCATTTATCCCTCTTCTCCCAGAGCGGGTCTTTCTCTAACATATAGTCTGGTCAGGTAATTCCATTTATGTTTCCTCTTTGACTTGAAAATACCGACTTACAATGTAGATGTTGATATTTTCTTAAAACACCTTATTTAAAGGTTCATTAACACTGTTTCAGGGACATGCAATCCATTTTATTAGATAGAAACACTCATGAAAAAAATGTCTTCCATGAATCAAGTACATAAGTGATTATACTCACTTTTCAGAGCTCTGTCAGCATGTTCCTTACTATAATTACTAACATTTTTAAGTCTTCTAGACAATTTGGCAACTTTTACTCACATTAGCAAATGTAGTGGAATTCTTTTTTTTTTAATATGATTTGTTGCCTAATGTTTCAAGTTAAACAGGGATAGCTTTCGAATAGAATATCAGAAATTCATCCCACAGGCCCATAACTCCAAATATGACAAATCTTCACATGGCATTATTTAACAGTGCACGTTCAGTGTTTTTAGATGCCAGTACTCTATGTTAAAAATATGTTCATCAAAATTGGTATCCATGGAAAACTACAGTTGCTAACGTTGCCTTACTAATGAGAAAAGGCATTGCCAAAGTAATCAGTAATATTTCAGTAAAAATACATTCATTTTCTCCAAGCTACCTTGTGCCAAGGACTTTTATAAGCAAATGCTGGAAGAGAAGTAAATGGAAACAGAAATTTGGATCCTTATCCAAATGAAATTATGAGTTCTTACTTGTTTTAGCAAACAAGAACTCAAGGCTGGATAACTAGGATGGGTCATATTTTACTGTTTCCTTCCCAGGATTCACACACGTTCTTAACATTCATCATCAACTGCCCAGTTCACTTAGGGTTACCATCTGTGACAAATGTTTGTTTTTGTGGGGCTAGGTTCTACTAATCCACTCCTGGATTACTCATATGGCCATCACAAAAGGCAAAAGGATTTTAATATCTTCATTCAGGTAGCAAGACCTTAAGACAGTGAGCCTGCATAAGGGAGTTCTTAGGGAACGAATAAGACTCCACAGGGAATGAGCTGCGGAGATAACAGCCACAGAGCAGGTGTTAGTGAGCACAGCACCACAGGAACTACAGGAACTTAACTCCATGGAGACACCACCAGAGATCAGATGCTTCCAAGTGCGCTGCCTAAGGCCAGTGGGCCTGAGAAGCACTCTGAACTTCCAGCCTGCCTCTTGGGTAGGCAACATGATAGCCAGAGAGTTGTTAGTGAAGGACCTGGAGTCTCTATGTATTGTCAGCCCCTTTTCATGAAACAGGCCGATGTCTGTCACAAGTCAGGTAACCACTAGTGGTTCTTCCATTTTTCACCATTGGTGCAAAGTGTACTGACAACATGTCAGTTTGAACCAACAGTAGATGTGGTGGCTAGCTTACTCAGGCCTAGCCAGAAATTTTTAATGGTTACCTCTTCCCCCCACCCCCCGCTTTCTTTTCATTAGGACTTGAGGCCTGGAGATGTTTCTGGCAAGCGGAACCTCTGGGAAAAGCAATCTGTGGATAAGGTCACTTCCCCCACTAAGGTAACATACTAGGGGAATTGTGTCTCAAAGATTGATTTTTTTTCCTAATGAATCATGGGATATAATGTCCTGGGGTCAAATGAAAAATAATGCTGACTCACAAATCTGTACTATAGATCACCATCAGTTTCCAAAAGCCCTATGTGGAGTCCAGAGGAAGGACAATTCACAAAGCCATTGGCACTGACGGTTTGCCGTGCTTATAGCATAAATGTCTCAAAGTCATGGAATGATTCCTAGTAACATAATTTTTAAGTAGTTGTGGTTGTAGAAAATCTGGCCAAGAGGACCATATAAGATAACTATGGTGTATTTTTCTTCACAAGGTCTCTAGCTAAACAGTTATTTTGGGAAAAACAACTCTCTTTGAAGAATTTGTTTGTTTCCTTCATTGGCTCCATTTCTAGAACTATCATAGGAGATATTTCCACAGCCTCAGACTCTAGATGGCTATGGCAAAATTTTTAAATAGACAAAGTATGCTCTCCTGTAAAAGCCAATAGCTAAGAGCTTAGTCTTCTAGAAAAGGAGTTTTCACATTTTTCTCAGTGGTATTTAAAAGATGCTCAGAGAAGAAATAGTACTTCTGGTTGTGTAAGGAGCTAATTCCACTCCTGATTGTAGCCTTTCCCCATTTCAAAAAAAAAAAAAAGACCCAGCCTTGTCCTTCAATAGGAGGAAATTCAAGAAGAGAACTCAGAAATCAGTAATAAATAAGGTGAGAATAGTCTGCTTCCAAGTAATGCAGAACCCTAGGGGCAGAGACTTCTCAAGCAAACTACAGATAAGTGAGCGCTCTGAAGGCAGCTAGAAGATCCACGATAGTGGAGATCCAATGCAGTGAGGGAGTGACAGCCCCCTTTCCCACGTTTTGTACTATTTTCAATCTGGTGCAGCTGCCTAAGAGTCCACTCCATCTTCTCTATTAGTTATAGATTGCTCTTTTAGTACAATGAAACCCACCAGCCCAGCTGCTCTACTTAAAGTGACTTTTATTATCCAAATGATTGCAATATGCTAAAAAAGTACCTAGTGATGATCACTGCCAACCACAGTACTGTCTCATGTAATCCTCTAGCTATTAGGAGGGTTAAGTGGTAGAATTATTACCATTTAATAGCTGAAGAAAATGAGGCACTAAGATATTCGATGACTTTTGTAAAGAAACAACATCTAACAAGTAGTCAAACCTGCACTGAGGGGCTGGACAGATGGCTCAGTGGTTAAGAGCATTTTCTGTTCTTGAAAATGATGTAGTTCAATTACCAGCACCCACATGGCAGTTCACAACCCTCTGTAACTATAGTACCAGGGGATCCAACACCCTCTTTGGTCTCCAAGGGCACTCACTAGACGTGCACAGGGGACACAATTATACATGCAGTCAAAATACAGATGTAAAACAAAACTTAATGTTTTTTTTTTTTTAATGTTAAAAAATACCTACACTGACACTCAAACAGTCTGCTCTGGGATCACATTCTTAACTATTACCCATAAGGTTTTATTTTTGAGAATGTACATTCAGCGAAAAATGTAATGTTTTAAAATTTCCCTCATAATTTTTGTGGCAGAGGAATGGTGATTTTTTTTTTTAAACACAAAGAATAAACTTGTGAGCCTAAGACTTTGAAATCTTAGTAGCTTAGGTACATCTTCCAAAGTATTATGACAGCTACCTTTCTGAGTAGGGTACATTGACTGTCCACCATCATAGGTATCAGGGCCCCCGCGGTCACATTAGGGCTATGGAGAGTAGAGCAAAAGCACCCTCGAGTGGTGGGACTAAGAGGACACCTCTCACAGACACGACAGCTTGCAGGATGCACCTGGGATGGTGGCACCAAGCAGAAGGGTGCTTTTCATGCACCATGCCTGCCTCCCTCACCAGTCTACCACTGACCTATTTCAGTGGTTTTGATAAACCAACAGACCTAGCTGAGTCAATGAGCCAGCAGGTGAGGGATCCCTCCTCCAAAACACCAAACTCCCTACTTACTGTGTGGCCACACCCTTGAAATGAAAAGGCGCTGCACTTTGAAAATGCAATCTATCACAGATGAAGATGTTATTACTACAGCAGGGACTTTTAACAGCTGGATGAAGGGATGATAAATGGAATAAAATAGACTAAGGGTCAGATAAGTCTCAAGGATGAGTGTGCAGGGATTAAAATAAAAAGATGGCTGGGAGTAAACTGGAGAAAAGCATATCCTCTTGTCATGAGGCTGATGTGGCCTTGACTGACCTTTAAGTCATGTAGAACACTAGAACTTCCCAGTCCTTACTGTAGAGTTCAAAAACCATCTTGATTTTGAGTGCTGTGAGCAAAGAGGAAGATCAAGGTAGGAAAGGAATCTCAAGGAGAAAGAAAAAGTGGAAAAAAAAATCTTGGGGCAAAAGGGCATATTTGAACAAAAGCCAGCAGTAAACTTCCCTTTCATGGTGTTTATGTTTACTCTATTGTGCCGTGAGTCTTATTTTGTTTTTCTGGCAAAATCCATCCTAACGAAACACTGTGGACTGCTGATTTAAAGTTCTCTTCTCTCAGCAGGTTTGAAACAATCGGGAGAAAGAACCCAACTGCAAGACGTTTTGCTGGGCCAGCTCAGTTGTAGGGGGCTAATTGCTCTGTTTATATTTATGTTGATTTACTAAATTGGGTTCATTTTCCTTTTTTTAAAAAAAATTTTCCAATATCCCAATAAACCCATATATATGCTCACTATATTTAATAACCACATCTAGAGATGTTCATGGTCAAAGTACTGCCTTTGCAGAGGAGCCTGTTTCCAAAGAAACCCATGCTGTGAAGTAGACTCGCTACTGTCGTTCCAGCAGTGAGAACCACCACTTCGGAAGTCAACAAAAGGAATTTGAGGTTAAGATTATCTGAGGAATGAATGCAGTATCTAGGGAGGAAATGAACCATAGGTTTTGTTTTGTCTCAATACAGACATCATGTTTCTGCACTTTAGACTAAAGTATGGAAGAAATTATCTAAGTAGGCAATCAAAAGTAACCCATTTCAGATCTGATACAGGGCAGTAATGATTGTCTTTATAAAAGATGTACTGTTGACATATTGCTTTTTTATGTGCTGATTCATACCTAAATTGGGTGATTATTTTAGCTGACAGTGGTACTGATTTTTTTTTCAGGTTAGATGCTTTGCAAATTTCTTTGGTAGTAATTGTAGACTGAACCACATTTAGATAACCCAACTATGTAATGTATGTGCATACATGTCTACAGACACACTAATAGTAGACTGCTCTTTCATGTGCTAGACTATTATATTGCATAGTATGTCCTTGTAACTAACCAATATCACAGCTTTTGAAGATTAAAAATCACAATATTATATTAATATTTCATATTTGCCATGGAAGTTAGGTATAGATATGTTTTCAATGCCTGATGATGTATAAGAAAAAAAAATTGGGAAAAAAAAGGAGATTAGAAGTGTCAAAATTAGTTGAAATTTCTTCTAAGACCTAGTCTTTAGTTTATAATTGAGGGCAGTCTTGAAGTCCAGTGTAAATTTTAAGACTACCATTTGGACGATGCTCAAACCCTGCTTTTTGTGACAGTGATGTTCCCAAGAAAAAGTTGACTTACATGGTATCTAAGGTGTCCTCCTTCTCTAACATTTAGAATCAAGCATCTGGTGACAGTATTGCACAAATTAAAATTTATGTAGATGCCGAAACAAAGCCCAATTTTGCCTCCTAGAAGCATACAGGCAAAGTGAGCAAAAAGCATGGCAGTCCTTCTATCTTTATGTACTCGGACTTTTTAAATTAAAATTTTCTGCCTTTATTAGTCAGTTGATACTGTCATAAGTTGATAATATCTTAAAATTTCAAAAGTATATGTAAATTTTAAGTTTTATTTCTTCCCCCAAGGGTCCTTAGGGACTCACCATTCAGATATCAGATCCTATGTTAGCTTATATCTTTATTTTCTTCCCAACAGATAATGAAAAGTACTCTAGTGCTTTACAAAATGTTCTTATATAGAACATTCTATGTATACAGTGTCATTGTACAAACTCATACCTCAGCTGACTTAACCAAAATTATCTTAGTCTCCATTCCTTCCACACTGGGAGAGCGTCCAAAATAACTATTTCCTAGTCCACATATTTCCCTTCAAGAGGGAAGAGTTGGCTTGAGGGGTGACCACTATCTTGAAAAGTCTATTTTTCTCACAAATTAGTAAAAGTTAGTTGGATTCCCTAGCTTCTGGCAAACTTGGGCCAAAGGAAAGCCACTAAGACTACCCAAGTCATCTACCCACGACAGAGTAGACACAAGTCTATGATAAGATAAATAGAATGCACATGGCACACCTATGGAAATGACTTCCATCATTGGAGTAAAATGGGTCAAAGTTCGAGTTAAGGTGGATGGTGAGGGGTCATGGTTGTGTTAACAAAGGCCTTCTACTATTTTATAGGCCCTTTGTTGTTAAGCCTTTAAGAAAGTTCCAAGTTGTAAAAAGAATACTTTGATCCTACATTTTATTCCAAATTTGGATGACATGAGTTTTAGGGTAGAATTCTGTTCCGTTTAGATTTAATCTTTGAAAAAGCAAATTCCTCATTTACTTGGATTACAGCTCTCTGTCATCTTTAAGAGGGGAAGCTGCAAGCTGACTAGCATGTTCTGTGAATCTGCCATTGTTAAACATGTTCTTAACACTTGACATTTTTCACTGAGAATTGATTGCTGCAATAAAATATATTGTGAAAATGCATCCACAATAAATGGAATTCTTCCAAATGTCTTTGCCTCATGAATTTTTCTGTGGTCTACTGATTGTGAGAAGTGTGTCTATAACAATAAAGAGGATGGCAAGGCTCTTGTACTTCACATTGTATGTCGGTTTCACTCTATAAAGGAAAAAGCATTTTGAGACAGGATTTCATGTAGCCTAGACTGGCCTGGAACTCAATATGAAGCCAAGAATAACCTTGAACTCCTGACCCTCAAGTGCTGAGATTATAAGTGTTAGCATGCTTGGCACAGCTGTAATTTAAAATATTTCTTATTACAGAGTATTTTCTAACCAAATGTTCAAAAGTACTCTGAAGTGGACCAGTGACAGAACATTTTAAAAATTCTCCTTCAAAATAAATGCAAAGGCTAGGTGCAGCAGCATGAGGTAGTGATCTGGTGTACCTGGAAGGGTGGAAGAGGCATGGGTTTTGTTTGTCTTGTTCCCAGCTTTGTAGTTTGTGTGTTAGCTCATCCAACCCCAGCTCCACAGAGAATTCTTATTTCACTCCACTTCAGATTTGCTAGCAGAATTTTGCTATGGCATGTTTTAAAGGAACACTTAATGTATTTTCATAAAATATGAGCATCATATAATTGATCTGGACAGGCCCTGAGAGTCTGCATTTCAAATGATTCTGATGCTGTGATGGCTCTGCTGTTTTGCAGACCTTGCTTTGGGAAGCCAGCTCTTCCCCTCCTCCCCTTTTCCCACCCACTTAGGTCTGTGGAGAATGTGTGCCTCAAACACTGTCAGTGAAAACAAATGAGAGCACCAACTAGAACCAGCACTTAATGCTCATAACAGTATTAGCTAGGTGGCATTATTCCTGTTCACAAGGAAACTATGGCACAGAAAAGTTCAATAACTTATTTCAAGTACCTAACTTGAAAAAGTCTACACTTAACCTGCTGTGCTATTGGTTCACCTACTAGACTCATTGAACAGACTCTTCCACCGTTTCCGATTCCATAGGTCTGGGGTGGAGCCTGAGAATTTACGTTCTTAAAAAAAGTACTGAATAACAATGCTACTGGTCCCATGGGGATACCTTGAAAGCCAACCTGCTACGTCAGAAGAGAGTAATGGCTGGAACCTGCCCCCTCGTGTTACTTGAGTGAAATACAGGCAATTGCTTAGAACTTAACACGTTTTTCACCCTTTTAATCTTTTCAATAATCCTACAAAACAGGTACTAGTCTATTATCCCCATTTTGCAGGTAAATAAATTGAAGTATAAAGAACTTCTAAAACATGCCAGGTCAGTGAGCTGTTTAGTCACAAGATAGTTGACCACCAGTGAGACTCCTAGGGCCACATTCTTAATTACTACACTCCCTGGTGTGTCACAAAAGACTATTACCTGTAAGTGTGCCTTGAAGAGAGCCTATTGTGTGTGTGTGTGTGCGCGCGCAGGGAGAAAGGGCTGAAGTTGCTCTCCTCAGGAAGTTCACAGACAAGTGTGTGACAGCAAACACTAGACAATAACTTGACCAGGTAAGGAGACCCGTGTCATTTTGACCCAGGAGGTCTTTATCTTAACCCAACAAGAAGTAAGAATCCCAAGGGAACAAGAGAATGTGATGAAGGCATCTTTATGGGATGCCTTCAGCTGAGTCTTCATCAGCTTCTGAGTGGAACAGATCTCAATAGGAGCTTGGAAACACTTTGAGAGGTTGGCCCTAAAGTGTCATCGTAAGGCCAGATAATGCAAGAAAGGTGTAGACAGATACTTAACTCGCTTCTGGCTCCCTGTTCCTAGAGTGGCTTCATCAACTAAACTGTGTGAAGAGACCTCAGAGTCTCCATGATGCCTAACTCTGTGACATCATAAAGATTAATGCACTGGTCACTTTGTTTTCTTTTCTAGATCTCTTGTCTAATAAATTCTAAATAGCAAATTGTTCAAAATAAGTTATATTCCTAACATAACTTACATTTTTGCCATTTTACTAAAACAAAATTTTCATCCTGATACCCATGCCAGTGATTGTGCTTTTGGTGGTAATACAGTGTTGAGTTTTCGTTCCCTCTTTTATTCTTCTTTAATATTTTGATTCCTACTTCTTTATCAGAGTAGAAGATGGAAGTTACTGCAGGCTACATCTGCCTCCTAAAAAGGTAGAAACTGGCTAGTAGCTCTCAGTGGTGAGACCAGAGAAGGGAGCACAAATCAGTAAGTCTGAGTTGTTTATTCAAGGCCTTATTTTCATTTTAAGAGCAAAGAATTTAATTTCTAGTCTATGCTAGTATCTGAAATCAAAATTTTAAAAAATACTTTTAAACTAAAAATGAAAAACGTAGATGATTTAGTAGGAAAAGGCATTTCCACCAAGCCTGACAACCCAAGTTCGATTCCCAGGGCCCCACAGAACAGAAGAAGAGACTCCTACTAGTTGTACTCTGACCTCCCCAAATGCACTGGAGCATGGATGCTCCCCCATAAATGCAACACAAATAATTTAAAATTCAATTTTAAACATTTAAAGCAGATGCTTCAAAAAAAAAAAACCCTTTTCTTTAAGATGAAACTAGCTCCACCTAGCACTTCTTTCATGGTCTTTGTATTTGCTGGGGTTTTTTTTTTTTTTTTTTTTTTTTTTAACCTTAACAAGGTCCACTCTAGTCAACCATGTAGTATATTCTCCTGTTCAAATGCCATCTGGACAGAGAACTTCCCTAGCTACTCATCTGAGGGAACCATGCTGCCAAGCTACTCACCTCCAGCATCTGCTATGCTTATTTCTCTCCACAGCAATTTTCATCTGCACGGTTCTATTGTTTTGTTTGTCTGTTCTCTCCCATTAGAATAATCTCCATTAAAAACTGTTCTGCTCCCTGCAATATCCTTGCACTAACCGATAGTCTCTGGTGTGAACTAACCAGTAAAGGTCAGATGAATAATGAATGAAAATTATTTCCGAAGTTTTTCTGAATTTCTAAGTAGTTCTCTTACGCACTGATAACATTCTTCTCTATATTCATTAACATATGTTAATATGCATAGTTGGGCTGAATGTATATGTGTGTGTGTGTGTGTGTGTGTGTGTGTGTGTGAGAGAGAGAGAGAGAGAGAGAGAGAGATTTAAATCCTATCTTTACCTCTTCCATACCTGGTTGGGTTGTTTCTCAGAGCTTCATCTTGTGCACCTGACAGACTATGATCTTTATCCTTGACTAAAGTCCAACAGAAAAAAAAAAAAAATAGATTCCATGTATAAAGATTGTCTTAGCCTAATACTGTTTCCAATGGCACAATACCACCAGCTGGGTAAGCTTTAAGAAAAGAGGTCTAGTTTGGCTATGGCTGTAGAGATGCAGGTAAAGGAAGCCCTGGCAAAGTCCTGAGGAACCATAGGGTACCCCTTAGCAGAAATAGGGAATGGACCTCCTCTGGTCTGTCCTATAAAGCCACTACAGTTTAATGATGAGAACTCTACAGTGATGGCCTCATTTCATCTTACCTCTGAATGGCCCCATATATAAGCACAAGAAAAGTTTCTGTTCTTACGGTTTTACAATGACAATTAAATTTCAGCCCTGGGCTTCTGAGCCCTCGAATGACAGACTCTTTAGTGTGTTACCTTCAGTGATGTCCATGTGGAATAAAACCAAGCATAACCATGAGGACCAAATTTTCAAACGATCATGACCTATGGTACACTTTATTTCCTCAGGCCAATGTCCAAACAAACAGAAGTCTCAATCTTTTGAATTGCTGACAAACACATTTTCAGAAACTTACCAAATCTAGAGATGCTAACCCATTTCCATGCTTGAACCAACGTGCTTTGCTCTTATTTTACTTTCAAGCCCATTATCCCTGCTTCTACACTATCACAAGTCTCAGTGCATATAATGTGGACCGTGAGAACATTCTTCGTCATTTTTCAAACTCTATGTGGAAAACTGTTCCAACTGTATTATCCACTGAAGTTAAAGATGACCAATAAGTCTGTTATGGGGGTATCTTATTGATTTAAATGTGGCAAAAGGGGGGGGGGAGTTGCTTGTGAAAACGTTGGCTAACAAAGAATTTCTAAGCTGATAAAATTTCGAGAATTTACCCTCATAGAACCATGACTCCTCCAAATCAGGTACTTAACTCTCGTTTCCAGCATAAGTATGGATGGCGAACGAGACTCAACCTTTTAACGCCAAGTAAAATTACTGCATTCTTTTTATTAATGAAGAAAATTTAGTTTAGAAATTTAACTTGCCCCTGGTCAGGCTGTTAAAAGCCAAGTGAGCATCCACTGCCTTCTCAGCGCAGGGACCTAGCAAACAAATTGCTCACACCCAGAACAAACTGCTATCGCGCCTTCCCCAACGCTTAACCCTTCCTCCGGCCCACAATTCTCAAACTTCTCCAAACCTTCAAGAGTTCACCTCACGCCCCGGCGTCTCTTTCTCCCGCTAAAACCTCACCAATTCCGCAGCCGTCCCTAAGAGCCGAAGCTGCCCGAAGTCTCGCGAGAGTTCAGCCGTTGCCCCGACAACAGGCGGCCTGCTCTCCATGGAGGGCGTGGCTGCGGCTGCTGACTTGCGGTGGTGTTTCCTCCCGCCCTGTTGTGGCCGGGTGTGTGCGGGACGTCCTAAGGTACTCTCGGCGAGGGTGGGTCGAGCTGCGTGGCGTGAGGAGGCCGAGGGAGCTAGGCAGCGGCGGACGCGCCACGCCGCGCAGACGGGGGCGCGGGGCCCGAGTGAGTGCGAGGCTCCGCGCGGGCCCTGCCGTGCTGCCCGGGCGGAAGGCCTGGCGCCGCCGCTCGCCTCCCGGCGTCTTCTTCGGGCGTGGACGCTCCGGTCCCAGCGCTCGCCCGCCCAGTCCGCGCAAGTAAGGAGACGCCGCCGGGTGTCCGGCCGCCGGTCCCAATTTCGAGCTGTGGTCCGGGCCCGAAGCGTCAGGCTCCGCCCTGACCTGTCATCTAGAAACAGCTCTGACCTGCAATCGTTTATGATGAAGCTTTGCAAGGCCTTCTGTGCAGTCAGCGCCCCCGGACACTCTTCTGTAAACCACGTAAACCGAGGGTTGTCAAGTTTTGTGGGCTGCGTTCAGTGCACTCTGTAGTAGTTGATGTTAGAAGATAACTATACAGTAATGATCAAAACTAAAGGGAAACTTCAGTTGTAGACGCTGAAACTTCGGCCAACTGAAAGTTAAGGAGGAAGGGAAAGGGTTTTAAACTACTGCTACATTTTATTGCCTGAATAATTATAACTTTCCTTGCCTAATTTTTAATGCTTGAGGATAATACTGAATTTACTGTTGCTGTGTACTGTTTAATTGTAAATATAAACTGTAAATGGACTGGCTCTGTACTGTGAATATGTTTCAACTAAATTCTTTACATGATTTGTCTTTTTTGTTTCAACCGACTTCTTTCAGTTTTAATTTTTGTTCGTAAAACATACTGGTTATAGATTTATTTATACCCCCTCCATCTCCTCCCAGATTCCCCTCCCATTTTATATCCACTCATGTTGGTGTCCTTATTTTAATTTTATTTAATTAAAATATAATCACATCTTTTAACCCCCTTCAAATCCTCTTAGATTCATAGTCTCTTTCTCATTATTATGGGTGTAATAAATATATAAACGCAACCTGCAGAAGTCTGTTGAATGTTGCTTGTATGTATATATATTTTAGGACTGACAATTTGGTATTGCATAACCATTTAGGGATTTGTCTTGTAGTAATTAATAGTTTCTTAAACTCTTTGAAATTGAAGTTAATTTTCTGTATCCTTATTAATTTAGGTTTTAGAGATCTGGCACTGTTAATTAAATACATTTGGATGTGTTTTCGAGTATTCATTTAATACAGAACATTCACACCTTCGCTTAAAAGAAAAGTTGTCAAATAATTTTCCTAGAAATTTTATATCCTACCCACATAATAAAATAAATTGCAAGACAGACACTGAAAGAGATGTCAGAAGATTCGGAAGATTCAGACAGAAGTATCAGTGATGACGATGACTCAGTATGTCTCTTTTACTTCACACAATTTGAAATAAAAATTATTATAAAGCATATATTCCCAATTAAAACACTGTAGAATTTAATGTAAAAATAGAATGGATGATGAAATAATTTTCATGGGAGTTAGAAAATAACTTGATTGAAAATGTATAATATGCCCTACCTAGAAAGAAATAAGAAGAATAGATTTTTCTTGAAGAGGCTATCAACTTGAAAATGGGGAGGGGAAATGGGAGAGGTTGGAGGAAGGAAAGGGAGGGGCAAAATGCTCTATTTCAATTAAAACCATTTTTTTAATGGAAAAAATAATTTTTTTTTCTTGAAAAAATACTTGGGTAAAATTATTCTAGATTTTATTAAGGTGTGTGTAAGTAATCATTAAGATTTTTTTTAATCTATACCTGTTTCTGTATGTGCTAATCGTGTTAATATGCACCATACTAGAATCATTGGTGCTCTAACCAGTGTTCTTATGTTCCACCATAGTCCATTAATGGAACTCTTTAATACAGAAGGAAAGAATGTGGAAAGTAGAAAAAGGAAGAGGAAGGATATAGTGTTTGAAAAGACAGTGTCTGGTCCCACATCCTTTTCTAAGAGATTTTTTAAAATTATGAATTATAGTATGTTTAAAGTTCCAAAATTATATATAATTCTCTAAGTCCATAACTCTCATTCTCCAGTTGTTTTCCTAAGTGTTCCAAGTATCTATCATTAAACTTTATTCCTTTTCTGCAGTCATTATCATGGCCATACTCTGTGGAAGAGGAGGAATAAAGATGCAAATTTTAAGGTTCCCCTCCTATATTGGAGCCACTGCTTTGGGGCTGTAAACCAAATAATTGTTGGAGTCTTCCATTTATTAAAGATTAAAGACAATCACAAGTACTAAGGTAGATGTTAAGTAAAACTCTAGATCTTGATATTATTCTTCTTAAATTTTGCAATTCTTTTGTTTCAGGATGATGAACCATTCTTGAAATTTGTAAGTGATGACATTCATCCGTGTACACTACTAGCAGGTTTGACCTCATCTATATGTATTTTCCTCCCTTTTAATCATGGAACCTTGAATAGGTAAAAAGTAGGATGAGGAAACTGAAAGTAAAATAGAGATTTAGTAAAACTGGTTATTCTGGTGAGTAGGGAGAAAGAAATATACCGCTTTGGAATTGAATCTTTTCAGGGTGGTTTTAAGAAAACCTGGTTAATATTAGAAAGTAATGAATAAAATTAAATGAAAGCAGAAAATGTAGCAAACTTTGTGAAAGACTGTTTAACATAAGGAGTTACCTTTTCATTTTATTAAAAACATAGAAATATTTTTTAAAAGACCTCGATGCATTTGTTCAGTGATTCAATATATAACAAATACAATGTGTTAGAAATATGTTTATTTTAATGATGCATAAATAGCTTTTAATAATGCTATTCATTTGTAAGTATGTGTGTGAGCATCCTGATGTACACTAGATTTTTTAAAATGTATGCATTTACAGTTGTACCATCAAATTCCAAAACATTTCCAGTAAATATGCACATATCTAAAACAGCCTACTACTGATGTTAAATAAAGTCTTTTTACTTGTCTTTGTTACCACCATCCTAAAACAAATTACTTTTAAGATAGTTACTCTTCTTAAGCTGGTATGTGTCATCATTAGACTTTCTGTGACAAAAATACCATGACCAAAAGCAGCTTAGGAAGGAAATGGTTTATTTCATCTTGTTACTATTGGTCACACTCCATTACTAAGGGAAGTCAGGGAGGACCTTGAGGAACAGAGCATAATCAAAGCAGAAGCCGTGGAGGAATGCTGCTTACTGGCTTGCTGAGCTTGCTTTCCAAACAAGCTTTGCCCTGTGATGGCAATTACACCTGTGGGCTGTGCCCTCTCACATCAATCATGAATCAAGAAGATGCTCCACAGACTTGCCCACTCACCAGTTTTGTGGAGGCATTTTCTCAGGATTCCTTTTTCTCAGATATGTCTGGGTTTGTGTTGTTGACAAAAATCAACCAGCATAGTATATACCTTTCTAAATTTTCTCTTTATAGTGTATATATGTATATATACATATATGTGTAGTATATGTGCAAGTATATATACATATACCTATACTGGTAGGAATTGTATAGCACTGTTCTGTGGACACTTCCTTGCTGCTCCTTTTTCTTTGTTCGTTCATTTGTTTTGTTTTTGCTTTGGCATCTAATGGAAGACAGGATGTAACTCTTTGTTTTAACTGGTATATTGTTAGAGCAGTTGACAATTGTTTTTACAGGCTTACTGTCTATTAATATTTCTTCTTGTTATGAATTGCTCAGGCATGGTAATTATTTGATTTTTGCTTATGTTGCTTCCATCATTTAGAATTATTTTCGATATGGTTGGGTTTATCACTCTTCATTTATGGCTTTTCATTTTTATATTATTCAAATTACAAAGACATTCTATACCCAAAGTCATGAGTATACTCATCAAAGAAAGAAGCTTAAGTACTTCTCTGCATTGATCTGAATTTTGATATTTAATTTCTCACATGAGTAGGTTTTATCTTCTGATTCATAAGTAGCTACAGTGTCATTTGGTAATATGTGGGATTATTTATTGAAATTTGTTCATTTTTGTCACTGATTCAAAAATGTTACCTTTACCGTATATTTGACATGTTAACTTTTTCAGGTTCTGAATCCCATCTTTCCATTCCCGGACTCATGAGACACCATTAATGTTGTAAAATATGGCTTTAAATGTGATATTTTGGTATATGTTAGGACAAGTATCTCTTCTGACTCTTCTTTCTCTGAGTCAAAAGTCAGAAACAATCTGAATATCCAACAATAGGAAGTTTATTAAATATCTCACACACAGTTGTGTTGCAGGTATATATTGTACTATGCACTTTAAGGATGGCTTTTATAAGTGAAGATGTAACTAGTCAAGAACCACAAATGATTTCTGATAGTCATATCAGAATAATTCTAAAGTACTAGTGTAGATACTCATCTGTGATATATATTAAATAAAGTCACAGTCACTTGTTTAAGGTGATCCAATTTTGGTAAAGCCTGTTAAAATGTAACTTTGACACATTTAAGGAGTTGTTTTGAGCAATAACAGTTCAGAAATTTGGTGCTTAAAACTGGAAGGAGTTTGGGAACACTACCTAGGCAACACACAAGGGCAAGACTTAAAAAGTGAATGCATAAACAAGGCAAATAAAAATTTAAAGTAGAGCAGAGAACTTATTTGGATCCTAGTGGAAAGTTCCTGGAAGTTAGTTCACATGTTCTGCAGTCATATAACAGAAGGGAAATAAACTTAGAAGGAATTTCACATCAAACTGATGCCATACCATTTCATACTGACAGAAAAGGCCATGCACTGCCTGCTAAGGGTAGGTTGTAACTATATGACCACACATTTTTGGGGTTGGGTCACACAGTGAAAAACTTGTGACTTAGATATCAATAGCAACTTTTAGGAATACAGTTCCAGTAAGTGGTGAGGTTATATTTAACTCATTGCAGGAGTGGTATGGTTAAGAACTCAAATATAGAGCTTGAGAAAATAGATCATTTAGTAAAGCCCTCACAAACATGAGGACCTGAGTTTGGCCATAACAGTATCTGCATGGTGGCTTGCACGGATAATCCCAGCACTGGAGAGGTTTATGAGACAGGAAGATCTGTAGGGCTCACTGGATAGCCAGTCCATCCTAATGGACTGATGGGGTCTGGGTCAATTAGAGAACCTGTGTCAATGGAGGTAGACAGTGTTCTTTTTTTTTAATAAAAAAGAAAAAAAATATATATATATACAACATTATTATTTATACCACACCAGATCTTACTGTAGATGATTATGAGCCACCGTGTGGTTGCTGGGAATTCAACTAGGACCTTTGGAAGAACAGTGAGTGTTCTTAACCTCTGAGCCATCTCTCCAGCCCCCTAGCCAGTGTTCTTAAGGATGACACCAAAAGTTGACCCCTGGCCTCTGGGGGACTCTCCTCAGTACACACACACATTTAAAAGTCAAATTTAGATAATTTGCTGGGAAAGCTTCTAGAAACAGACATTTTAGAAGATTGCTAAGAAATCTTGTAAAATAATACTGCATATGTTAACCAACACTTTTTCAGCTGTTACAAAATTTCATTTAGATATTTAGAATGTCATGAATTACTAAATAGTTAAAATAATATTTATAAATATGCATAAATTAATGCCGGAGCCAGCCAGCAGAGTCGAACGGTTCTTGAGTCAGGAGTGAGGATTAAAATTAATAAAATAAACACACAGCACACAGGAAACTTTTTAAAGGTCCAGACTCGACAGCCACAGCAAAAGGCAGGCTGCCGTAGCAAGCAGCATGAGCAGCAAGCCTCAAGTCTCTGCCTCCTCCTCTGCCTCCAGCCCTATGACATCTTTATTAGTGAGGAGTTACTTTTAGCCAGTAAAACATCTCAGAACAATGGGTTAATTTTCACAAGGAGCCTGAGGAAGAGGTATGACCCTCACAAGCTATCCCACCTGCTGTCACAAACAAAAGGAGATGGACTTGCAGGTTCTTCTCTGCCATTAGTAAAGGCCTGCTAAAAGCCATCTCTCCGCCGAAATTTAAATATCAAAGCAGGCCGCTCCCGACAAATTAAGTAGGTTAAAAGGAAAATAAGAACTGTATGAAATATGTAGGAGTTGGTGTTTCCCTTCTGGGCGCTCATGATTGTATTTGAATTCTCTTTCAGCTGATTCTATTGTTGACCCATTCTTCCCTCGGACCACACAAATTTTATTGGAGTATCAGTTAGGGCGATGGGTACCTCGCCTCCGTGAACCACGAGATTTATATGGTGTCTCTTCTTCTGGTCCACTGAGCCCAACACGGTGGCCATACCACTGTGAGGTCATTGATAAAGAAGTCCAACATATTGGTATGTTTTTAGAAGTTGTGGGATTCAGACATTAGCAAACTTATCGGTCTTGATGTTAATGAGGACACTAATGATGTAACAACTGCATTCCAGAAATATAACGTAAGCCATATGTTTAAATAAAAATTTCCTACTAGCTATACAGGTTTAAAAGTAGAATTAATTTTAAAATATATTCTATTTAATTATAAAGTATATAAAAATATTTCATTTTCTTTTTGCACAAAGTCATCCAAACCTGGTATACATTTTAAACTTATGGACATCTCAGTTCAGACTATTCATATTTCACTGCACTTGAATAGAGGATTTAAAATACATACCAAACGGGGCGTGGTAGCACGTACCTGTCATTATAGCATGCTAGGTACTAAGGCAGAGGATTGCAAGTTCAAGGCCACCCTGAGCTATGTATCACCAGATCCTGTTTCAAATATAAACCTCGTATCTATACTAGATTTGAACAATTGAAAAGATACGACTATTCAGTGAGACATACTGTTTCATAGTACTCATGAGCTGTAGTCTCACTCATTTTTGCTCTTCCACTCTGGCCCCCTAGTCTCTTTTCTTCAGTTCCTTTGTCTCTGCCTTTTTTTTTTTTCCACCTCTTATTTATAGACATGGATGGACTGTAGAAGACCTGTTTAAAGTGTATTTTTGTTGTTTTTTCTTTATTGTGGTATTCTCCAATTTGTTTTCTACTATCCTAAAAAGAGCTCATAGACTTATGTCCATAGTCAGACAGTGGATATAAAGACAGTCAAAAACATCCCCATTGCTGTACACCTTCCTCCTGCTTTCTTTCTTTCTTTCTTTCTTGCTTTCTTTCTTTCTTTCTTTCTTTCTTTCTTTCTGATTATAAAAATTTCCTTTAATCAAGGCTTGTAACACAGATTTGTCAGATAAAATGGAGTTTCCAATATACTGAGACATAAATCCATAAGTCACAATAAATACAGTACCCAATAGTAAAAACCACCACAACAAATTCACACCATCCCTGTAAGAGCCATGATCTGATTTTCACATGCATCTGAGAGATGGCGAATATGGTCTGCTGATACAGAGCACACTAGGGCTTGAGGTCACACTCATCTGACAAGGCTGTGGCATTGGCTTAACTCAAGAAGCAATGCAGGCATAAGCACTTCAAACAGTGTATTGAATGAACACTTTAAATATCAAAGTGGGAAATAAGAAAGCAACATGATCACGCTATCAGAAAGATGGTAGGAAGTAAAGACAGCTGTGTAAAGTTTGAGACTGAAAGTTGGCTCACCAGCTTCATTTCTTTGGCTTCTTGGGTAGTGGCTGCTGCAACGGTAAGATGTGAGGCCCTGGTTCATGGATCATATAAAGGACCCATCCCTGACTCTGCTGCATGCCAAGGTTTCTCCATTCAGATCAAAAGGGTTTTAGGGATCAGTTTGGCTATGTCCTTGGGCAATATGACATGTCAGTACTCGAACTCCTCATTGTTGTATTTGTCTGAATAGTAAATTTGTTTGAATGACAAAACGGCTCTGCCCCTCACTACTAGCCTCCAAACAACTCCCCTGCTGCTCTTTTTCCATTGTTGATTGTAGAGTCCACATATTCTGTTACTATGTAGAATTCTAATAAAACTTTTGTGAGTGGATAAAATTTAAAACTATCTGAATTTACCACAGTGCCTACTGAAGTTAAATGCTCCCCAGGAATTCTTAAAAACTAAATTTTCTTCTTACATTATCTGATTTTAGATAGGTAGGTATCATACAAGACAGGAAGTCAATAGATAGGGACACAGAGAAGCAAAAAGATTAATGGTTTTACTTATAGAGAAAAAATTTTTCCTAACTTCCAAATTTTAGGTCTAGAAATACACAAAGAATTCATCCTGAGTGAGGTAACCCAGATCCAGAGAGATGCACATGGTATGTACTCCTTACAAATGGAGTTTAGGCATATAGTACAGGATAAACATACTATGAGGTACAGTCACAAAGAAAATAAGTAATAAGGAGGAACAAAGGGGGGATGCATAAATCTCACTCAGAAGGGAAGACAGAATAGACAGAGGTGATGGCTGAAGACAGGGAACAAAGTAGGAGAGGGGGCACAGAGAAATATGAGGGTGGAGATCAGACCTGGGGAGAGTCGGGGCAAGAGAACAGAAGGCCTGTAGAAACAAGAGAAACTGAGGGTGGGGATATCTCACCCTCAAGCTGAAGACCTAAGTCAGGGTAGGCTCCTGAAAGGACATGAGAGGGATTCAAGAAGAGACTCCTAGTAGCAGAGGCCATAGAGATAGAAGAGGACATTCTCTAACTAAACTAGTCTTCTAGTAAAGGGTAGAGAACACCAACCCCCCACAAAAACTTCAACCCAAAATTTACTCTGCCTGTAAGATATGCAGGGATAAAGATAGAGCAGAGATTGAGGGAATGTCCAACCAAGGCCTGGCCCAACCAAAGACCTACTCTATGGGAGAGTGCCAACCCCTAACACTATGAACAACACTCTGCTAAACATGCAGACAGGAGCCTGACAGAGTTATCTTCTGAGAGAGACTACTCAGCAGTGCCTCAAAACATGCTGAGACTCATAGCCAAACATTGGGTGATGCTTAGGAAATCTTGAGGAACAGTAGGAGGAAAAAGTACCCAGTAGCGTCAGGAGCTCCAGAAGAAGACCAAGAGAGCCACCTGATCAAGGCCCAAAAGGGTTTGCTGAGACTGAAGCATCAATCAAGGACCATGCATGAACTGAACCTAGGCCCTCCTACAAAGATGTAGCAGGTGGGCAGCTTAGGCCTCATGTGTGTCCTCTAGTAAGGGAAGTGGGGACTGGACACAGACTCACTTGCCAGCTTTTTGGTCACTTTCCCCTGGCGGGACTGCCTTACCAGGCCGCAGGGGAAGAGGACATGCTCAGTCCTGATGCAACTTGATGAGCTGGGGTAGATGGGAAAGGGAGCTCCGCTTTTCTGAGGAAAAGGGGAGGCAGGAGGGAAAGGATGAAAGTGGGAGGCTGGGAGGGGACGGGCCTACAAGGATGTAAAGTGAATAAAATAAATAAATGAAAAAGAATTCATGCTTACTATTATAAGCATCACATTTACAGAGATGTCTTTATGTATATTTCCAGTAGTTTAGGGCATCTCCAGCTTGTCCTTTCAGCTCTATCATTCTACCTCTCCTGCAATAGTTTACTTCTTTTGCTCATATACCAAGGAAAGTAATACAGAAAGCAAACAAACAAAATGAACAGCACCATGTACTAAATCTTAACTCTCTGAAAATCCTTTTTATGTCTCGCGTCATAACCCATTTTCTAGCTGTGTCGGGAGAAGGGAAATGGAGCTGAAAGGGGACACTCTCCTGCTTCTCCTGTAGCCTCCGTCTGTGTTCTCTTCTGCAAAAGTGGTGAGAGAATGAGAGCAGAAGAGATCCAAAGGGAAGAGGGAAATGAGACCGTGGTACATTTACTGTTTCCCAGTGTGCCCTGACCCATGCTGACTCCACTTAGCAACTTCTCCCTATAGCTGGACAGCCCACTTTCACATCCATACTGCATCCTGTTCTTATGTTTCTGGTGCTTATTTTCAACCTTTATTTGGCTTTTAGTGATTAACACCAGTGACTCAGGATGGAGAAAGTCTCCATATCCAACTTACTTGATATACTCCCAGCTCTTGGATTAGAGCAGTTATTATATTTCTAGCTTCTAGTAATTCTAAATATATTTTCTTACCAAACTCCTGTTTTTAAGAATAGTTAGATTTTTTGGTGCCATATTTCAGGTGTCTTGAATGTTAGACTTTGAGCTTTATGAGCCCAGCTTCTATCCTGAATGAAGATGCAGAGGCTCCAAGATGCAAGTAAAGATAGAGCCTTCAGCATTGGTTTTACCAGATCCCCAGAGTCATCAAAGCTACTAGTGAAATACTTTGCACATGGTGAAAGCTTCATTTGGGGCTGTGCCATGTTCTTTTGTTCAGTCTTTGTTCTATAATATTTGAAGGCTGTGCAGGTTATTAAACAGAAACATCCATACATCCTTTATGCAGGAAGAATTAGGATTTGCTCCCAGGTATCTGACAACTTTTCCTGTTTGCTACTACTTCAGAGCCTGTTTTTCATGGTCTGGCACATTCTTCTGAATTGCTTTTTTTAACCAAGTTGAAATATTTGACAGGACATACAAGACTAAACAGAACTCCACTTGTAGACTGATTTTATTTAAAGGCAGAGAAAGGGTGCAGCAAAACAAAAAGCTTCTTTGGCAAATGTTGGTGACCAGAAGACATCCTGGGACAAGTTCCCCATAGTCTTAATCAATACGTGTGCACATATGCACATACATACACACAATGACTTCTGATTAAAACAACAACTATGCAGTGAATCTGCCTCAGAAACTACAGCAAATCACAACTAAGGTGTTTTTTTGTTTGTTTTTGTGTTTTTTTTTTTTTTTGTCTCTCCTATCATGCCAATAAAACAGCTTATTTAACTGTATTGCCAAATTAAGGACATCAGTTAATAAACTTTTGGGGGTTATCAGTATTCTAAAACCTTAAATAGTTCATCTACTAATCATACTATCCTTTTCTTACCTAAGAGTCAAAGCTAGACATCCAGTGTGCCATGTAGAAAAAAAAAGTAGAGCTTTTCTCTATCCCAGTTGTATACACAATTATCTATTGTGAAAGTCTTTCCATATTAGCTTATGTACCAATCTTTTATGATTATTACATTGTATTTCATTAAGTAAACCATAATTTAATTGCTCAGCTCTAATTTTGCCTTTTAGATGCCCACCTGTCTTTACCCAGATTTTGGAATACCTAGGTAGCCTGAAACTTCAGTACTGTAGTAGAGTCAATAAAATAATTTGGCATTCATCCAGCTTATTTTTACTGTATACATGTCTCTTAGCTGAAGTTGGAAGTATGACTATACTTTTCAGAAGTATCAGAGTAATACTGAAAAACTACTCCGTATTGAAAGAGGCTAAATACACATTATGAGGTCCATGTGGTGGCACATACCTGTAATTGCACCATCAGGAAGTGGAATAGGAAGATCCTTAAATTCAGGGTCAGCCTGAGATACAGAGTAAGTCTGTATTTCATAATTTTAATACAATTTTTTTATTTATTATAATTTATTCACTTTGTATCCCAGCTGTAGCCCCACCCTTGTTCCCTCCCAGTCCCACCCTCCCTTCTTCTCCCCCCATGCCTCTCCAGAGTCCACTGATAGGGAGGTCTTCCTCCCCATCCATCTGACCCCAGCCTATCAGATCTCATCAGGACTGTCTTTCATAGTCTTCCTCTGTCGCTTCATAAGGCTGCTCCTCACTCAAGGGGAGGTGATCAAAGAGCCAGCCCCTGAGTCCATGTCAGAGACAGTCCTTGTTCCCCTTATTATGGGGCCTATTTGGACACTGAACTGCCAGGGGCTACCTCTGTGCAGGGGGTCCAGGTTATCTCTATGAATAGTCCTTAGTTGGAGTATCAGTCTCAGGAAAGACCCCTGTGCCCAGATTTTATGGTTCTGTTGTTTTCCTTGTGGAGCTCCTGTTCCCTCCAGGGCTTTGTGTCTCCCCTTTTTTCTTTCATAAGATTTGCTGCACTATGCCCAAAGTTTGACGATGTGTCTCAGCATTTGCTTTATTACCCGGCTGGATAGAGTCTTTCAGAGGCCCTCTGTGGTAGGCTCCTGTCTTGTTTCTTATTTTCATCTTCTTCTAATGTCTATCCCATTTGCCTTTCTGAATGAAGATTGAGCATCTTACCCAGGGTCCTCTTTGCTTAGCTTCTTTAGGTGTACAGATTTTAGTATGATTATCCTATATTATGTCTAATATCCACTTATAAGTGATTATATATCATGTATGCGTTTCTGCTTTTGGGATAGCTCACTCAGGATGATCTTTTCCCACCATTTTCCTGCAACTTTCATGATTTCCTTGTTTTTAATTGCTGAGTAGTATTCCATTGTGTAAATGCACTACAATTTCTGTATCCATTCCTGAGTTGAGGGACATCTGGGTTGTTTCCAGATTCTGGCTATTAAAAATAAAGCTGCTGCAAACATGGTTGAGCAAATGTCCTTGTTGTATACTTGGGCATCTTTTGGATATATGCCTAGGAGTGGTATAGCTGGATCTTGAGGAATCGCTATTCCTAGTTGTCTGAGAAAGCGCCAGATTGATTTCCAGAGTGGTTGTACAAGTTTACATTCCCACCAGCAGTGGAGTTTTTAAATTACAAATAAAACACATAATTCAATGCAATGTGTAGTTTTAAAGTGTGTCCTTATGCTACTGGTACAACGAGTAAAATCTCTGTTGGTATCTATTGGTTACACCAAACCAATATTAATGATATTGATGGTTGTATTAAGGTTGTACAGGAGGAATTCTTCTTTGTTGGAAATACAGAAGTATTTGGAACAGATTTAGTACTGTGTTGTTAAATATTTTAGGGAAACAATTCTGGTTTGTTGTTGTACATTTTCTACATATATCCAATTGTTTCAAAATAAGTTAGAAAACAACATACCTAGGAGTAAATCTAACAAAGGACATAGAAGTCTTATATATAACCAGAAAGCATTAACAATACAGATTTTTAAAGATTTAAGTAAATAGAGAGTATTTTCAGAGAGGATTACAGAGCCTGGAGAGACCCAGCTAATGCAGATGGTACCATGCCATGGGCTTGTGAACAGGATCGAATAAAGGAGGGAGCATGCTGAGCACCAGCATCTCCTTTCTGGTCCCTAGCCTTCAGTGATGTGGTGTGAACTGAGCTGCTCTGCTGTGCCTCCCCTGCCATGATGGAGAAACCCACTGAAACCATGAACAAGACAAAATCTTTTCACCCTTAAGTTTCTGTCAGTTGTTTGATCAGAGTCTCTAAAAAGTAACTAATATAGGAGGGAGACAGTGTATTCATAATTTGGAGGGCTCATTCTCTTGAAGGTCTCAGTTATCCCCAAACTAATCTATAGATTCAATGTAATCCCAAACAAAAATTCTAATTGGAATTTTTGTGGAAGTCTAAGAATATTCACTCTTCCCAGAGAGAGAAGAACCATAAATATGTTTACAAGGTTAAGGGATGACCAAGCAAAAGTCTGAACACAAAGGAAGCAAAAGTAAAACGTGGGATGAGCAAGACATTTAGAGATGGGATAAAGTGGCATGGAGAACTCAAAAGAAATAGAAACTGTAGAGTTTCTGAGCATAAAATAACTGGCACTGAACTGGACAGTAATTTAGACAAGGTGCACATGCAATCATGCATTTTATTACAGTATGACAATGTTATTCCTTGTAATGAACTAGGACAGGTATATATCAATTAGTAACTTAAAAGCATATATTAACTTATTTTGAAGTCACATTTAAATAATATCCCCTTCTTTTTTCCAGAGTGGACTCCTTTTTTTCCTGAGCCAGTATATGTCCCAACAGGCCTGGAAATAGAACCTGTTTACCCAAACTCCAAGGAAGATACTGTGGTTTACCTAGCTGAAGATGGTGGGCATACACTCTAAAAACATTACTGTAAAAACATAATTGGTACCTGGTTTGATGGTTTAGGTCGGCTTATTGTTATTGATAGAGGAAACTTCAAATTCTAGGAAGTTCCTGTTTTCTTAAAAATGTATGGCTACATATAATTCAAATGTTTAGTGCTGATTATGTTTTTGAAGACATACTTAAAATATGCTGTCCATTAAAATGGAGAGTTCCATATAGAATGAATTATGTTTTGTATGTTTTCAATTATAAATATAGTGATGCTATCTGCAAAAATTATTATTCTGTATGTGCAGTTTACCTTTGTAGAACCATTCAAATGATTTTTCTGTTGCTTTTATCCCTGTTTGGTGCATTTTATGTTAGCATCTTTAAAAGAAAAGAAAATAGTTCACATTGCAAATGAGATTCCAAGATTATATTCCAGGAAAGTGTTTCTCACTACAAGATCAGTACTGGCACTCTGAGAGCTCTACAAATACAAGTCTTATCTGCCTTTATGACAGTGCATGCTAAAACCCAACAGTAATCTGCACCAGGGGCCTAAAATGTCCCTGAAGCACTAATGTCAGGGTTGTGGGACCCTTATGAAACTTCATCATCAGAGCTTGGTGTCTTATTGTTGCTATCTATTAAAATAGCTTCTAGGGTGGCATGCATATTGAGAAGGCAAGTATGGCAAAGAAAATTTCACACTGTTTCTATACAGTAACAATCTCATATTCACACTCACACATAACCAAACATTGAAGTGATTAAGTACCTCTTAATTTTTAAACTTTTTTCAAATATTTACTTGACTAACCCGTGTTAGAGCTTTCACACATAACTGAAATAAGGTCTTCTTAAAAAAAATTGTTTTAAGTTAGTAAGGATCCTGTCAGAGTTTACATGAGGTAACTTATGAGTGCTTAATGAGACTTAATGACTTTACAAGAGTAGATAGAGCTGAAGGAGGAGGCTGCAACGGAACAATGACCTTTCTGCTAGGTAAGATTTGGGATGCTTTCTAGACCCTAGAACCTTTCACTATTTGAAAAGGCTCCTAAGCAGCTGGCTTTCAGTAGGAAACTCTACAGCCACCTGTGGCACTGGTGGGAGGAGGTAACCAAATGTCACTCTCCTCCCACATCCCCAAGTGCTACCAGAGCTTCCTGCTGTACCCAGGCAGAAGCTCAAGGACCCTCCCAGACAGCCCATAAAGATCAGGCTCTCCAGAAACAGGTAATGGAGAGAAAGATGCAATGGGAAGAGAGTAGATGTTGGGCCTGTGGGAGAAACTTTATATTGCTCTTAAAACCACTTAATCTTATTTAGCATTAACTCTTGACAGTTGTGAAATTCTAACTTTAAATGTTTTGAAAGGAAAGCAATAGAAAAGAGATTTGAAGATGAAAACTCTGTCATATGCTGAGTTTCACCCAGCATACCAAAGATTTGAAAATATTTCTATTTCTCTATTTTTTACTAATGATAAAAATAGAATAAGAAAAGATTTCAATAGGTAATATATAAGTTAAATACCAGTGAAAATTAAAAGTTCATAGGAAATTGCAACTCTAGGATAGGCTATGGAAAACTAACATTGTATGATATGGTTAGTGGGGGAGGGGTGTTAAATCAAGGTGAGTTATATAAACAGTGAAATAAGCTGTTTACAATTCTTAAAAATCATCTTTAAAGATAATGCATCCTTCCAATAAACACTGGTGTGAAAATATAGAACCCCAGAAAGTTCCTGTTTCTCTGCCTGCTGGTGAATTCCCACATGAGCCCCAGAGCAAGTGATTTCTTTAGTGATGTTAAGCTTCCTGGACATAAACTCATATAGCAAGCACACCTTTGTGTCTGGCTTTTCTGGCTCAAATTATGTTCTTCAAATTTACCATGCTACTTGATGCTTTTATACAGCTAAGTAGTTCACCCTTGTATAACTACATAACAACTTCATCTCTTTTTATTTATGTTTATGATCTATCTTGACTTTTTTATGCATGGCTTGGAATATGGAAGTTAAGGTTAATTTCCCCACATACCTGTCTTTTTGAAAATATTTTACCATAAACTGTTGAAAAGACTGTCCTATCCTCCATGGAAATGTCTACCTACCTCTATGAAATGTCTGTTCAAAATATACATGTCAGTCTATTTCTAGATAATTTGTTCTGTGCTATTGACATATTGATGCTAGTGGTGTGGCTTTATCATGAGGATACTTTACACTAAAATAGCCATTTGAAATTTCTTTTGATTAATATTTTATACTGTATTTTTTCCATCATTTAAAATTTTTGTAGATATTTTGTTTTGTGTGAGACAAGATCTCATTAAGTAACATCAGCTAGCCTGGAACTCATTACATATACTAGGCTGGCCTCAAACTCACAGAGACTCATCTGCCTTTGCTCCCCAAGTGCTGGGATTAAAGGCATGCACCACCATGCCTGGCCTTATCATTTTACTTTAGATATATTTTTCATGTATTTTTTTAATTTAAATTCATACAGCATATAGCCTTACTTTGCTTTTTATATAGTTTGAAAGATGTTTTTAAATTGCTATCGTCAATATAGTTTTGATGCAATTGGATTCAATACCTATCATCTTGCTGTGTTGTATTTTTCATGTTTTTAATTTTTTATTGTATCTTTCAAGATTAATTTGCATATATTTGGTTCTATTTATCTCAACTACTGATGTTGTATTTCTATTTTGGTTTTTGTGCCTTAAATTTTTCAATATATATCTTTATAAAAAATATATATTGGTTGTTGGTGGCAAATGCCTGTATCTTAGAACTCAGAAGGCTCACAAATTCAAGGCCAGCCTGAGCTACATGGAGAAAACTTGACTCAAAAATAAATTTGCTGGAGATGGAGAAATGACTTAGGAATTAAGGGTACTGTCTGCTCTTGGAGAGGACCCTAGTTCAGTTTCCGGCACCCACACTCTGTAGCTAACAACCACTGTCACTCTAGTTCCAAAGGGATGCAATACCCTCTTCTGGCCTCCATGGGCACTAAGCATGCACATAGGACATATACATACACACAAGCACTCAAATATACATATAAAAAGAAAGAAATCTTTAAAAACTAACAATTTTAAAATAAATATTACTTTCAAATAATCCTATGTCATTTCATATATAATTTTAAAAGTCTTATTTATAAAAGTATATTCCCAATTCCCTCTTCTTGTCATAGTTTCAAATATTTTTTACTTTTTCATGTGCTAAAAAGGTTAGTTTCCTTCATTAGTAATCTTTTAGAGCATTTAAAAGCAAGAAAAATTACTATTTTACTTTTAATTTCTAGTAGTTTTTGTGTGCATGCATGCATGCACATATGTGTGAGCATATGGCAGTGAGTGGAAGCCTTGTGCATCATTCCTCACGTGTTGTCCACCTTGGTTTTGCAACGGGGTATCTCATAAACCTGGAATTCACTGACTAGGCTAGATTGGCTGGCCCAGTAAGCCCCAGGGGTCCGTCTCTCTCTGTCCCCAGTGCTTTGATAGAGCCTCTTCCAGTGCACCTGACTTAAAAATGTGGGTCCTGGAGATGGAACTCAGGTCCTCCTTCTTGCTCAGCAGACACCATACTAACTGAGCTATCTAGCTCCTGGCCTTCAAGCACCTATCACCTGTCTGTCTTTCTGTCTGTCTGCCTGTCTGTCTATCTATATATTGTGCAAATCCAAGTTTCTAATACTTCTGCCTGGAAAACTTTAATATTTCTTGTATTGCAAATTAATTCTCTATCTCAGAAAAAAAATGTTATTTTATCTTATAGCACTTGAATAATGTCCCAGACTTGTAACCTTTGAGACTTTTAATCCTTATTCCTACAGAGATATGTCTGTTGTTCCTTGGGCTTTTTAAAACTTTCTTTTGGTGTCAGTGATAATGTCAGAATCTCAATTATTGTTTCTTCACACTTTTCTTCTGCTTAATCCTCATATGTTAGGTTATTTGGTACTATCTAACAGTTCTTGGATCCTGCATGCTTATTTTGTTTGTTTTGTGTTGCCTTTGTTTTTAGAAACTTCTGCTTGAGTTTTTGATGTTTTTGTTCACCATCTTCATGTTTATTGAGTATTTTCTTTGCTCATTAGAGGCAGTTTCAACTTAAGTTACTGTTTTTCACTTGTCGTATTCTATCCAATGCTTTCTTACTTTGCTTACCTAACTCCTTCTGAAATCTTTAACTGATAGAGCAAGCATTATATTAGACTAGCATTATATTAGACTTCATTATATTAGACTGGTTATGTAGTTTTCTCTCTTGACCCATGTCTACAGTGATTTCTCTGTGTATGTGCGTGCATATGTATATGTGTTGAAATCCTCTGGTTGATAGGTGGAGATCCTATCTAGGTGTTAAAGAAAAGCAAATAATTTTTATGTGTGAAAACAAAACAAAACAAAAATCCATGGCATCACTCTTTACATATATGAGATTTTAGGGTATATGTGTGATGGTTCAATCAGCTTCAGGATTAAGTTAGTATTAGATGTGGTTTTGGTCTTTACAGCACACAGGATTCAGATCCTCTACATCATATATTTAGGGTGATGCAGAGGAAATATCTCATTTCTGGACCATAGACAATAGAACTTTTCGGTAGTTCAAAAAAGTATTATAAATTTGCTCACAATAGTATTCTTACTGTTGCAAGATTAAAAATAAACACACTGTGTCCTAAGCAGAATCCAGACTTTGGTCTCTGACTTTAAACCTTTCTAGTGTTTAAAGCTTTTCCTAAGTACAGTGTTTAGTCCAGCCCATGAATGTCGGTGCAGTGTGTTTTGTCATTGTGTTCAAAGTGTTATTTCTTATGCCTGTAATGCTTTTCTTTGGTCTTTAGATTATCTGGAAACATGTTGTATGTGGAATTATCTGGATATCTTACTGTCACTGATTTGGTCTTTTCTCATCAGCTTACAAAGAGCCCTGCTTTGTGTATTCCCGAGTTGGGGGTAACCGAACATCACTGAAACAACCTGTGAATACCTGTGACAACACTTTGGTCTTTGAAGCAAGGTTTGAAAGTGGTAATCTACAGAAGGTAGTCAAAGTGTAGGTTTTAATTATTTTTATTAGAGGAAGTAGGTCATTAGTTGTTTTCTGAATTAGGTAAATTAAAGTTCTTAGTATCTATTACTTAACTATAATTCTCAAATGCTAATTAGGGTGTTAAGGACTTAAATTTATTTAACCCATTCCTAGGACAGATTTATAACTACATATGCAGGCATTTATAAAAAGTTACTTGGTAAGGAAAAGTCACACCAGAAAAGATTAGTATCTAAATAAATATTACAGTGAAAAATGTTTTCCCTTGGTTAAGTATCTTCAGTGCAGAGTACAGAGTACAGATATCAAATTTTTTTTTAACTGGGAGTTCAAATTTTGTAATTTATGTAATTGTGTTACTTTATGTTTACTTTCAAGCCTCTCATTTATACTTGTCTTATACCCTGGAAATGGAATTATTAGAAAATGAAATATATTCTTGAAGAGAAAAATTAAACATTGATTTTTTTCTTCAGTTTCAATAACTCTTTAGCCATTAATTTTATAGAAAATAGTTGTAGTGAAACATAAAATGTTATTGAATGTCTGTTTATGAAGGAATACAAAGGCTACATATTTAAAATTGATCAATTTCTCATGAAATAAAACTTTGAAAACTTAACTTTTGTGGTTGTTCTAAGTATATACCATTTCTTCCCCAAAAAGCTTTATATGATCATATAAAATAGATAAAAATGAGATTATTTTTCTAATGTAACTTAAACTAAAATGTCATTCTTATATTCTTATGTGCTTTTTTCTTTGCTTTTTTGTGTATTAGGGCAGAATATGAATACCAGTTGACTGTGCGCCCAGACCTCTTCACAAATAAGCATACTCAGTGGTTCTATTTCCAGGTCACTAATACCCAACCAGAGATAGTCTACAGATTCACTATTGTCAACTTCACCAAGCCTGCTAGTCTTTATAATCGGGGTATGAGGCCACTGTTCTATTCTGAGAAAGAGGCCAAGACCCATAGCATTGGCTGGCAAAGAATAGGAGACCAAATCAAGTATTACAAAAACAACCTTGGGCAAGATGGGCGCAGTTTTTTTTCTCTTACATGGACATTTCAATTTCCACACAGCAAGGATACTTGCTACTTTGCTCACTGTTATCCATACACTTATACCAACCTTCAAGAATACCTTTCTGGCATCAACAGTGATCCAGTAAGATCAAAATTTTGTAAAATACGTGTCTTGTGCCACACACTTGCTAGGAATATGGTCTATGTCTTGACAATAACTACTCCCTTGAAGAACAGTGACTCAAGAAAGCGCAAGGCTGTGATTTTGACGGCAAGGGTCCATCCAGGAGAGACCAACAGCTCCTGGATCATGAAAGGCTTCCTAGATTATATTTTAGGAGACTCGAGTGATGCCCAGCTGCTTCGGGACACTTTCATCTTCAAGGTGGTACCAATGCTGAATCCGGATGGTGTGATTGTGGGGAATTACCGATGTTCCTTAGCTGGACGGGATTTAAACCGCAATTACACATCTCTCCTGAAGGAATCTTTCCCTTCTGTTTGGTATACGAGGAACATGATCCATAGGTAAAACAATCTTAAAATTGTACCTCTGCTTAATTAGTAAATTTGGTAATAAGAACTTGGCTCACACAATCCCATTCATTTCTTTTACTCTAACTTTTCTTAAGAAAGTTCATAAACAGTTTTTCTTTCTTTCCAACTCGATCTAATGCCCTTCTGACATTATAAACAAAATCTCTTCAGTGATGAAACAGACTCCAGAATATTTCAGTGGCTTTTTGAAACTGTGAAGTTTTCAAATCACAAATTTAATTTTTTACTGAAGTTTATGGTAGCCTTGATGGTTACACTGCATGTTTTATCATTTATATATGAATATGAACACAAACTAAAGCCTTTTGGCATTATGCCAATCATATAGTGCTGAATGGGCCCTTAGACTATTAGTCAGGGTAGTTACTTAAATTTTCAGGAATAATAATCTCATTTGCCTCTAGAAAAAAAAAAAACTGAACACCTTTAACTTTTCTAAATACAAATCTAGAACAATAAAATAATCTTACTACTTAAGTATTTGTTAAAGGGTAAATTATTTGATATACCCAGGTAATAACAATCAGAAAGTCTATTGAAAACAGAGTACACATTCCATAGACCTGGGACTTAAACATATCATATTAGAATTGATGCTACATCATTTGCTAACTGTATACCCTTGTAAAATTTAAAAATCAACTTAAATTTCAGTTTTCTCATCTCAAGAATGGGACTAATATCTCAAAGTTGAGAGTATTAGATGTGAAAAGTATTCCACATATGCCCAAATAAGGATCAGAACAGTGAAAGCTCTAATGTATTCACATAATTTCTCACATGCAAAAAGAAAAATGTTAATAAAATCACATAGCTATTAAGCCCCACTGTAAATATTCAGTTATTCAATTGTTATTATAACAACTTCCATTATAGAGATTATTGTCTTCTTATCCAGCTTTGTCCTCACAGCTACAAATGCAAGGTACTTGTTACAAAATTGAGGAACTAAAGGTCACCCGCAGCTCCTCATGGGAGCAGACAGAGGGTAAGAAGCTCCTGGGGTGACTCTGTTTTAAACTAGTGTCAACTTTCACTTTCAGTTAAGTCTTTTTTATTTGCTTTGGAAAGTAAGAAGTACAAATCCCCTAAAAACCTGAAATTGTGCTTTTGTGTAGCTTGTATATGTGGATAGCAGGCCCCCTTGTAGCTATTTGGTGAATGTTTAGGTAACAGCAACAAAAAGGAATAATAACCTGTGATCTCTTTCACCCTGGGTGTGTGAGCAGTTGGATTCTGTCAGAGAATTAAGGGCATTAGTGGGAAACTAGGGAAACTGAAATAGACGCTGGGAATTTAGTTAACTTTAGTAATGTGCAAGATTGGTCTCTGCTTTGAAGAGCACAGCAGAGTCATGCAATGTGTTAACTGAAAGAGAAACTGTAAGTGGAGTAGACTAGGGCACCGTTTTTTTCTAGCTTTTGTGTCAATCTAACTTGGCTTGTCTCTATGGAAGCTAATTTAAATGTCTCGGTTCTCAGATTGACAGGAGCGAATTCAATAATTTCTGAAAGAATTCCAAGAAAGAATTCTTTCAGAATTTAGGAAGGTGACCAGATATACGTATACACAATTTTAAGTATAAACCTAAAGCATGTTCACATAAGAGCAAGCATTTAGGATGCTTGATACAAAAGCTTATAATACTAATTACCTGTGGAAAAAAAGAACATTCAAACTGTTATTTTAATGTAAGTGAAGAAACAGTAATATTCTTCTTTACCTCAGAGGTAGTATTTCTTTGGAAATTAATTACATAGATGTATAATTTCTTTAGGAAATTGAAATATCATCAAATTTCTGAGTATTGGACTTAAAAATGTATGACATGCTTCATATTTAGGGATTAAACTTGACAGTCATGCTTTATAATCTAATTTTCTAAGAACTTGTAATGATGTGTTGATTCCTTTATGTTAAATGGATTTTATCAAATAAAATCAGTAAGTTAATGCACATTTCATTTTTTAAATTTCATATCATTGCTTTTAATAAAAGTGATGCTTTGATCTGTTATAAATATATATTTATAATACAATTGTTAACATTTTAGTATTTGCCCTTCTAGATATAAAAATAACATTTAATTTTAATTAGGTGATATAGAAATGCCATATAAAATCCTGAACACAGGACAAAGGAGACAAAAATTCTCATTCTATTACAGCTTTGAGTCTCTTCTGCCAGTCCTCTTCATTAAACAGAGGCTTGCTTTTAATTTAAAATAAGCAAGTGCTAAGTAATACATAGGGTAGAAGAGGGTTGTCCTCTGAAGGAATACATGATAATTTCTTTTAAATATTTATTAGAATTTTATTAGAAAAATTCAATTTAAATTTTAGTACCATTTTTTTTTTCAGAATGGTATAACCAGGGGTTAACTAGTCACTGTTTCCAGTACCAAGTTCTGAGGTACTCAATTTTTTTTTGAGGTACTCAATTTTTAATAAATAACTAAGTGCTTGTATGCATAGCACAGTTCTAGATGATTTCTAAACATTTCACATCTTTAACAAGCTTAAATATCAAACATGAGAATTTCCTAGATGAGTGACAAAGAGGTGGTACAATGAAGGAGTTGCCACATCCAGAACTATGTCAGTTCAGCGCTGGCTGAGTAGGCAGGGTGCGACGAGGCTTGTTCTGAAGGCTGTGGACACTGGAAGATGGAGGAAGACTCTCTAGTCAGAAGGAGTATATGTTAAGGTAACAGGCAGAGGAAGAGGTAACCTGTCCCCTGAGGACAACAGGAAACCACAGTAGAAAGCATACAGATGTGCTAGGAGTCTTGGGGGTTGGAAAAATTGGTTCCTATTATTCAAAACTAGAGCATAAAAATGAAAAGCTAGGGCATATATTAAATTCTATTTATGTGGATACTATATTTGTAAATCTATAGTTGTACCTATAGAAGAAAATTCAGAGGCAAAATTTAGTGATTTATTCCTTTTCCTCTTGATAGATTAATGGAGAAACGAGAGGTTATTTTATATTGTGATCTTCATGGCCATAGTAGGAAACAGAACATCTTCATGTATGGCTGTGATGGTAGCCACAGATCTAAAGCAAAAGGATTATATTTACAGCAACGAATCTTTCCGCTCATGCTTAGCAAAAATTGCCCAAATCAAGTAAGTCCTCTAAGAGTTTAACTTTCCTTTAGTAAATGTTTGTTGCTCATGTAGGAAAGTCAAGTGGGTCATTCTATTGCTAACGTGATTTTTCATTTCATTCTTTTAATTAATTTTTACAATTGGCCATGAGAAACAACTATTGGGAACTGTTTAATGCCCAATAATTTGGAAATATTTTTTAAAAAGTTTCTTCATTCTCTCTTAAGTCCAGCACTATTTTACCTTCTGAAGTTACCGCTATTTGTCATTTGAAGACCTAACATTTTTTTAAGTTAAACAGACTAAAGATCCTTAAGAAAAGTACACCAGTTTGGAAAATAACTTTTCAAAGAAAAATGTAATGATTAATACTTAAAAATACATAGAAGGTAAAATTAGAAAAGAATACAGTATATTTATATTTATAAATAGTGAAAATATTAGAACAACTCTGCTGAAAAGCAGGATACACAATATATGTAAATGTACATAGAATAGTCATCAATATAGACCAGATCCTGTCTTACAATAAATCTTAACAAATTATGAATTCAAATCATAAAGTATGTTCTCTGACCACAAGGAAAATAGACAAGAAATCAATGAAAGAAGAAAATGTCCAAACTCTTGGAAATTAAATCCATGTTTCTAAAAAGGCAAAAGAGAAAAAATTAAGGAAGATTAGAATATATTACATAAAAAAATATTATGAAGTTCAGGTAATGTAGTAGTGCTTAGAATAAATTTGTAGCAATAAAGGCTTATATTAGAATAAAACAGATTTCAAGTTAATACCTAGATTTCTATGTAAGAAACTAGAAAACAAACTAAATTGAAAATAAGGAGAATAAAGCAGACAATAAAAAGTTAGAGGTGTTAGACACAGAAATAATGGATAAAGTCATTAAAACAAAGCTTATACTAGAAAATATCAGTTAAGACTGATAATGCACTACCAAAACTGATCAGAGAAAGAAAGATTACAAAAATTACTAGGTCAAGAATGGAAGAAGGATATTAATTCATGCAGATTGTGCAGACAAGCACAATAAAGGGAAATCCTAGTGGATCTACCCAAGAATCCTCATATTTTTGTAATTTGATAAAACTTTTTCCTGAGTTGTTATAAAATATTGAAAGATTGTTGCATGTATTTTAAGTAATAAATTTAGGAGACTTATACCATATTCACAGAAGCTACATCTGTTGTTGATCATTACTATTTATTATTGACTTATCTTTTAGTTAAACAGTGGTTATTCCTAAACCAGCTATATACTCAAGTCACCACACAGAGACTAGGATTTATTTAATTAACCTAGAGCACAATGCTGGGCAATAGTTACTCCTTCCCAAACCTCCAAACCCTCATAGTTTCCTCCCATTCAGATTTCCCACATTATACTT